CCGAGGCGGGAGGATCTTGAGGTCAGGAGGTCGAGACTATCCTGGCTAACACGGTGAAACCCCGTCTCTACCAAAAATACAAAAATTAGCCTGGCGTGGTGGTGGGTGCCTGTAGTTCCAGCTACTCGGGAGGCTGAGACAGGAGAATGGTGTCAACCCGGGAGGTGGAGGTTGCAGTGAGCAGAGATTGCGCCACTGCACTCCAGCCTGGGTGACAGAGTGAGACTCCGTAAAAAAAAAAAAAGGAAAAATGCATATGAGATTAATGGGGATGTAAAACAGCAAAAAATTGGCCATGAAACCAATATAAATTATTCTGAGATCAAAAAGGAAATAGTAAGAGAATTTTCAGCTCATTTCCAAAACAATATTTTATAACAAGAAACATGTTTCAAATTGAAGTACTGAAGAGATTCTTAGATTACATAATTTTAGCTCCTAAAGAAAAGTAAATCATATGAACATATTAGAAAAAGATTTAAATTTTTAGCTGATTTGACATAAAATAACAGCCTTCCCCAAACTCATAGGCCATTATAAAAACAATATCAATAAACTGATTAATATCATAACATCAAAAACTGTTTAAGATTACTTATTTCTCTCACACCCAAACTCGAAATTAATGTCCTAAATTATTAGTGCTCATATATGAAAATACGTGATAGTTCTCCCATATGTGATAACAATCCTAAAAATTAAACATTATCAGTAACAAGTTGTATAGTTGAAATTAGCATTTCTAAACTACCAAATATTTTTAAAATGTCTGATTGACTGTGCTAAAGATGGAATTATCTTTCTAGTCCCTCTACAAAAAATATTACAAAATCACTGCCATATAAGGGAGTGTGATGGTTAATCTTATGTGTCAACATGGCTGCGTCACAGTGCCAAGATATTTGACCAAACATTATTTTAGCTGTTTCTGTGATGGTGTTTGGGTATTAAGATTTTAATTGATGGATTTTGAGTAAAACAGATTACCCTTCATGACGTAGGTGGGCTTCATTCAATCAGCTGAAGGCCTGGCCTCCTGCAAGCAAAAAGGAATTCTGCCAGCAGACTGCCCTTGGACTTGAACTGCAACCCTTCCCTGGGTCTCCAGCCTGCTGGCCTGCCCAGTAGACTGTGGACTCCTCAAACCTCCACAATTGTGCAAGCCAATTCCTCAAAATAAATCTCTCTCTAGGAAGAGAGAGATACACACACACACGCACACACACATATATATACTGCACATACACATATACCATACATACACATATATATATACCACACATGCATATACTGTACACACAGGTATACTGTACAAACATATACTGTACACACGTCACACACGCTATACATGCATATATACTACAAACTTACTGTACATACGCATATATATTGTATACACATATGTACTGCACACATGTATATACTGTACACACATACTGTACAGATATAGAATGCATGCATACACATATACTGTGTACACACACATACTGTACACATACATATATGCTGCATACACACATACTGTACAGATATATACTATACACACATATATACTGCACACACACATATACTATACACACACTACACACATATACATGTCTACACATACATACTGTACATGCACACATATATACTGTACAAACACATATACTGCATGCACATATACTGTACATACTGCACACACATAGATATCTACTGCATGCACACACATATACTGTACACAAAGATGTCTACTGTATACACACATATACTGTATACACAGATATACTGCACAGATATCTATGGCATGCACACACATATATACTGTACACATGTATACTACACACATATATACTGTACACACCCATACTGTACACACACATATCTACTGCATGCACACATATAAAGTACACACACAAATATACTGCACACATACTGTACACACATACTATAAACACCCATGTACACACATATACTGTACACACACACTATACACACATACGCATATTCAATTGTTTTCATTTCTCTGCAGAAGATATTGGAAAATATCTCTCTGTTGTTTAAGCCACCCAGTCTGTGGCATTTTATTATGACAGCCCAAGCAAAGTAATAGGAAGTACATCAGGAAGGTAATTACTAAAAATAATGTGTAACTGTCCCCAATGTGTGATGTTTGTTGCAGTTACCAGCTTTTAAGAATTTGCAATTTCTCCTGATTTCTTGTTCTGAATACATTTTCACTTTTGTACCTATTTTTTAATATTCTTTTTCTTTGTTTTGTTTTTGTTTTTGTTTTTTTCAGAGACAGGGTCCCACTCTGTGGCCCAGGCTGGAGTGCAGTGGTGTGATCACAGCTCACTGCAGCTTTGAACTCCTGGGCTCAAGGGATCCTCCTACCTCAGCCTCCTATGTAGCCAGGACTACAGGCACTTGCCACCATGCCCAGCTAGCTTTTTAAAAGTTTTTTGTAGTGACAGATTCTCACTATGCTGCCAAGGCTAGTCTTGACCTCCTGGCCTCAAGCGATCCTCCTGCCTCAGACTTCCAAAGATCCGGGATTGCAGGCATGAGCCACCACATCTAGCCCTTTTCTTAAAGAGGGCCCTCAAGAGCAACATCTCCAGGCCACACAAAACCTGGTTCTGCCCCTGCCAACAGCCATCTCTGCATTTCTTGCTGCTCCATTAATACCTTAAGCACATTCTACCAATGCATCTGCCATATGGTTATTAAACGGTCTGGATGGCCACTAGACTGCACTATGTGGATGGGCCCTGCTTCTTAGCTATATCTGAACATACAGGGGTGAGCGCAATGTCTGGCACATGTATTAGACGCTCAAGAAATATGTAATGAAAAAATGAATAAAGGGATAAATGGATGCAGGAGTGAATCCTGAGAAATGGATGCGTCATGTGTCCACCAGTCGGTACTGACATCTCCATTATTTTCAGAGTTCAGCTTACACACAATCCACACTGTTTGAGTTCAACTGGGAAAAAACAGCCTTAAGAATCTTCCAGCTCCTGAACCCTGATGAAAACCTCAAGCAAATGCAATCACATAAACTACAACCACCTAAACCAAAAACAAATGAATAAATGAACAACACGGAAACTGCTCTTCTCTACCCAATACCTCCTCCCGGCTCCACCAAAAAATATCCTTGCTATTTTAGTACAGTACTAAAGAGATGCACACGACTTATCTCGTTGAGTATGTGTTTGGGTGGATAATGTGAGAGTGTGAAATACAATACTCAGCAACCCTGTCAAACACAGACTGTTTTCTGAAATGATAAGACATTTAGTCTGAGATATATGTTGCACGGAGTCCAAAATATTTTCTGTGAAACTGCAGCTCTGAATTATAATGAAAAAGATTTGTGTAAAGAATTTGTAAACCGTACTCACTCAAGCATTTCTTCTCATTCTATATTTCTGTCTTTTATCTTTGAGGGGAAAAAATTAGATAGTTAGCTAGCTAGACAGACAGAAGGAAAGGGATTGCCTTAGCGTAATTCACCACATACTGCTTTGACACTGCAGCCACTGCTTCTATTGGAACTTCTTCAAGTCGAACTTGCTTTGTTCTTATCAAGAAAATGAAAAGCAACTTGATTGCTATTATTTGAGGTGTTGAAAGGAGTTGTTTGTGCTCAGAAACCTTTCCAACAGTTGCCCACTTACTTTTTTTCGTTTTGTTTTTGAGACAGATTCTCACTCTTTTTGCTCAGGCTGGAGTGCAGTGGCGCGATCTCGGCTCACTGCAACCTCTGCCCCCCAGGTTCAAGTGATACTCCTGCCTCAGCCTCCTGAGTAGCTGGGATTACAGGAGCCCAATACCATGCCCGGCTAATTTTTGTATTTTAAGTAGAGATGGGTTTTCACCATGTTGGCCAGGCTGGTCTTGAACTCCTGACCTCAGGCAATCCGCCCGCCTCAGCCTCCCAAAGTGCTGGGATTACAGGTGTGAGCCACTGCGCTCAGCCTACTTCTTACTTCCTATTTGTTTCTAAGTTGGAGTATTGGAAACTCCACCCTATCCCAAATACTATGCCATTTCTTATTCTTTTTTGAATGATTGACTTTCTTGAGAATCTAGCTGTTTTCTTTCCAGAAAAATAAAGGCACAAAACAAACATGACATTTTGCCCTGCAATTTGGGGGCCTTCCTAGATCCCTTAATGCCATCCAAGGAGTCCCATCCAGTGATTCCAGGTAGACTTCTGCTCATGGGCAATCTCATAAAAAAGTGAAGGTGAGCTGGCAGTGTGGTACCTGTGCGAGATACTGATATGGTTTGACTGTGTCCCCACCCAAAACTCATCTTGAATTGTAGCTCTCATAATCCCCATGTGTTGTGGGAGGGACCCAGTGGGAGATAATTGAATCACGGGGGCAGTTTCCCCCATACCGTTCTTGTGGTAGAGAATAAGTCTCATGAGATCTGATGGTTTTATGAGGGGAACCCCTTTTGCTTGGCTCTCATTTTTCTCTCTTGTCTGCCACCATGTAAGATGTGCCTTTTGCCTTCCACCATGATTATGAGGCCTCTCCAGTCCCATGGAACTGAGTCCATTAAACCTCTTTTCTTTATAAATTAACCCAGTCTTGGGTATGTCTTTATCAGCAGTATGAAAATTGACTAATACAGATGTAAAACCTCCCAAATATTTCATAATATACCTCAAACTTTAAGGCAAAATTGTTAAGTGAAAAGAAATCATTAAAGGGAGAAAACGATATTCTGAATTCTGATTCTCAATAGTATTAGTGGTTTTGATGGTTGAATTCTGATTGAGTCCATGTTATGGGGAAGATCTGGCAAAATCGTTATGGTAAAAAATTCATTTTACACACAGCATTTTAGCAACACTCCTTTTCAAAATAGTTTGTGAGTTTCATTTAAAGAATTTCTCTACAAGTAATATCATAAGCGTCAAGTTAAAGTGTAAAGTGAGTGGATAAATACATCTCATTTAAAAGCAAATTTATACTAAGATCACCAAAATGCAAATCTATTAAAAATAGACCTTGTCTTTAATGTTTATTTCACATTATCTAAGTACATCCAGTTATGCAAATTTACATTTTTATTTCACATCCTTGTATTCCTGATATACATATAACAGGACAAAGAACACATTTGCAACACTCAGCCTGTAAAACTCTCTTGGGGGAAACAAGATTCTCAGCTGCCTTATTCTTCTGCACATGTACAAATAAAGTTCTAAATAATTGGAGTGGAAATAAAAACTGGTAAAAGAGAAAACTGACTACATTTTTATGCCACCTGAGGATATTTGTACCTGATTTTTCAAATGGTCTTCTACTTGCTGAGTAACAATTGAATAGGTAACACATTTTCAGAGCTCCTTAAAATATGCCAAGAAGCCTCATTGTTTCTAGAGTGCTTAAAATCCACATGAAGCTGACGTCAGCTACACAGCACTAATGCTTAGATGTTGGTACTGTGGTGCTGTGCGTTTATCTAAGATATTTTAAAAGGTAGTAATAATCAGCATCATTATCCCTCTTTCATGAAAATATCTTGCCAGGCTAGAAAACAAGCAATTATTTCTTCAATTAGGCAAAGAAAAAAAGGACAGAACAGTACAATTCAGTACTCATTTTAAAGAAAACAATCACATTGAACTAAAAATTTTTAATTTCAGTTACAATTTTATGACATTCAAATATCTCAGAATCGCATTGAGGTACTAGATGACCGCGTGTTCGTTCTGTTCAATGTTGCCCACGAGATCTTTCATATCACTAGTTCCTGGGCTTGACTGACTATTGAAATACAGAGTGTTTTCAAAGGCGCCCTCTTGAGGTAGGTGCACACGTCTTTTCTTATAAAAGAAATAGGCAGCAAGGCCAGCACCCGTTAAAATCAGGAGGATCACAATGATGACTACTCCAGCCACACTGGAAGACGGTTTGGAAGGGTCCATCTTCCTTGTGTCAGCTATAAATAAATAAAATCATTACGGAAAAGGTGGAGGGAAGCAGAGGGTTGAATGCTATGCAGAACTTTGCTTGTTGAAAAACTAAAAGGCATAAATATTCTTTCAAGTGACATTTGTCAAACAGAAACGAAAGACGTGAAAACAAGAGTCCCTTTGGTAGAGAGGATTATTCAGAATAGTAAGATGATTATTCAGTTGCAAGAATAATCCATCTGTCTATGTAGCAGTGTGCTAGTTCATCAATATATTAAAATATATATACCTTATTTCAAAATAATTTAAGGCTGTTAAATATATGGTGTAAGAAGATAAATAAATTAGTAATGATATTAAAAGAAAATGAAAAATGAAGAGAAAAAGAAAATAAGAATACTGAAAACTTGAACTCATGGATGTAATTAGTAAACAAATAGCACTTATGACATTAATAAGGAGGTTACAGGAAAGCCATAAATCTCACTTTCAGTTTTTTTTTAAGCAGTCAATAAAATGAGTGAAATGGGATCAGTTACCTAATTCAAGTAGTCCATAAAAATTAAAACAAAAAATTCTAATAAAAGAAAAAAAACCCACAGAGATTTTTAAGAGAAATTTCTTCCATGGGTTCAAGGCAAATTCTACTGAGAGAGCAGGGGAGTTGGAAGGGATTACTATTATGCCTTTTAAAACAAACAGTCTGAATGTATTACTAATACAGAACTTGAAATTTTGCAGTGGCCTTACCTTTTGTTGTAAGTAATTCATGAGTAGGTTTAGCATCAATAACTGTGTGTAAAAAAATAAATAAATATTTATAAAAACCCAGAATAATTGCAGGTAGATAGCAAATATTATTGGCTCACAAATACATGGAATCCTCCACATGTGATCTGTGTTGACATGATATATGATATTCTGATATGATAGATATAAAAATACAGGTAGAAAAAAATCTGTATCTTTATCTATGTGTCTACCTATCAATCATCTATCTATCTCTCTGTCTGTCTAACCTATAGCAGTCTCCTATGGCTGTATGGTGAGTTTGAGTATATTAGAAGATCTGGAAATGTGATTCTCCAAGTTGCATTTGAGCCAATGATACTCACCCTTAAAATCTACCAATCTACCCATAATTAAAATATTCAAAGTTAGGGGTTTTGAAATCAGCCCGCTGAAGCCTAAGATGCTACAAAGCATTTGAATGAAAAGTAAAATAAGACTCCAGGTCTGGAGCGGTGGCTCATGCCTGTAATCCCAGCACTTTGGCAAGCCGAGGAGGGCGGATCACCTGAGGTCAGGAGTTTGAGACCAGCCTGGCCAACATAGTGAAACCCCGTCTCTATTAAAAATACAAAACTTAGCTGGGCGTGGTGGCGTGCACCTGTAATCCCAGCTACTTGGGAGGCTCAGGCAGGAGAATTGCTTGAACCCAGGAGGCGGAGGCTGCAGTGAGCAGAGATTGTGCCACTGCACTCCAGAGTGGGCAACAGAGCAAGACTCTGTCTCAAAAACAAAAACAAAAAACAAACAAACAAAAAAACAAAAACAAACAAAAAAAACCTCCAACATTGCACCAGAGGGTGTGGTGTGTCTTAGAACAGTTAGAGAAGGTTAAAGACCTGCCAAATTTTAAAATGGTAAACTCTACCCCATCTCTATTAAAAATACAAAAATTAGCTGGGCATGGTAGTGTGCTCCTGTAATCCCAGCTACTCGGGAGGCTGAGGCAGGAGAATCACTTGAACCTAGGAGGCAGAGGTTGCAGTGAGCTGAGATCGCACCAAGGCACTCCAGCCTGGCGACAGAGAAAGACTCTGTCTCAAAAAAAAAAAAAAAAAAAAAAAAAAACCAACAACTCTACTATCTAATCAGTAATTTATTGGGAGGGATATTATGCGACATGGCATGGCAACGAAATAATTTTAAATTCCAGATAGAGGCACCTTGTGAGCACTCAACACTATCAATGCCCCGGTCCCGTTCCTTTCATGGTCTCGCTTTCCATCTTAAAAGGAGACTGAATTAGTCTGACATGACTCATTCCACAATCAATTCTGATCCCTTTCCAGAACCTTGGTCTCCTCTGGTTTGGGCTGGTACTGGCTTTACCACCTTTTCCCTCAAGCAGTAAGGCTTTGCAGATGAGCTCTCCTGACTGTTTTCAGCTTGGCAAATCCTTCAGATATCCCGTTACAAATGCATTGATAAGCAAAAATCATTACAACAGTTAAGCAGACAGAGAGTGTCTCTCAATCACGCAGAGTTGCAAATAGTAATGAACTGCAATGGCAGAATGGATTTTTCACGGATGAAAAGAGAGAGCTTGCAATGGCCTCATAATCGCATTATGATTCCATACCTGATATCTTACCATTTGAAAGAAATGGCAGTGATTTGCACCATGCAATGAACTTCTTACTTACTTTTTGGTCTTTTACAAATATATCCTTTGTAGGAAGAACAGTGAATATTACTCCAAAACCCAGAAGACGCATGTAAAGCTACACAATCGTTCCGTTCACCGGAGGGATCTCCTGTGTTCCAGTTGACAAAGGAGACCGGACTATTATTTATCCACAGCCACATTCCTGATCATCAGATAAAACGAATAAAGACAAAAGTTAAATATAACCCGTCTTAAAATAAGTTCAGCCAATTTATGCAAATTTCTAAGCATATTCTTTTATACTAGAATCAACAGTCATTTATAACCAGACTTAACAGGCGAGACTATAATGACTAATTATTACAGGGAAGGAAACCAAAAAGAATAGGTTTACTATATAGCTTTAGTTAAAAATGTATTTCTAATTAGTACAAATATTTATGCTTCTCCTTTCCTTAGCATTTTTTTCCTGGCCCCATGAAAACATAGAAAATGCTTTTTAAAGCTTCTGAAACTATCTCAGCTACAAAAGACATTTTTTAATTAGCAACTTTGAGGATGGCATGATATGAAAGTCATTTTAAGTTTCAGTTCTTAAATAAAAATATGAGTTTGAATTTTCAAATTCTTCATGAATTAATCATTTTTAAGGCAACACATTTTGGAAATGAAATCTTGTTTTACATACAACATTTTACAATATTTGTGATTAAATAAGCATGCTGCAAACATTACCTTCAACATTTCTGAACAATCCTATCCAAAAATTGGTTTTACTTTTAAGTGGCTCAACCCGATATGACAGAAAACTGGATTCTGCAGCACTTTCAATGGAAACCAGAGAGGAACCTGGAAAGCATAAAAGGATAAATGCAATAGCTGCACATTTAAGTAGCTGAAAATATTTTTGTAAACAGCACTGCTATTAAGAGCAACAAAAATCAGTCTAACATCTGCACGTAAGGGGAAGAATTTCAAAGGGCAGATGTTTGTCTTCTCAGAATTTTAGTTTTCATTCTGAAATATGTTTTCAAGCATCATTAGCATCATTTGAGTACAAGCACTGAACTAGTTCCTGCAGGATATTCAAAGATTAGTAGGATGTAGAATATGTCTTACAAAAGTTATGGTTCAGTGGCCAGTAATAAGAGTACAAAGAAATATTATAGAAGGGGAATTAAGTGTCATATGCTATGGACATGTCAATATTCATTCTTGGTGAAGCAGCTAAAAGGGAGGATAGAGGAAACAGAATTTCAGTAGAGAGAAGAACAGGATTTCAAGTAAAAAGGATAGAAAATAATTCCAGGAAAAAGAGGTGATAAGAGGAAAGACAAAGAGGAAGGGAAGCATCAGGAACAGAGAGAACTTGGTTTGACTGGAGTGTGGCACCAATCTGGTCCATCGGCCCCCCTCCCCAAAAAAAAAGACATGGGTTAGGTCTCATTACAGAAGGCTGGAGATTGGCATTAAGGGCAATGTGGTGATAAAGAACACTTAGGTTTTTTTCAGGCAGCTGAATGATGCAATAACCCATTGTCTTGCTTTGATTGGTCCTATACATAACAGTTAGATTCTCCACTTAAGTATGGTCCTATATTAGCTATTATTAGAATCCAGCTGTTGTGTACAGGACCAGCCAGAGCAAGGAGATAAAACAGAAAGACCAGTTAGATGGCTATGGAGGTGACAACCCACATTAGATTGTGAACATTAAATTTTAGAGTAAAAATTTCTAGCTTTTTAATAATAACTAATATCTTTTAAGCATTTCATGCCAAACATTTTGCTTTGGACTTTACAAGCATTAACCCATTAAATTTTTACAATCACTTCGTTAAATAGGTACCATCTTTGCCCCATTTTATAGATAAGGAAACTAAAGCACAGAGGATGAGTAATCTGCCAAGATCCTAGCACTAGCAGAGGGAAGCTCATGCTATGACCCAGGCTTTCTGAACCTTGAGGGTCCGCACCTAACCATATGCCTATATCCCATATTACCTAGTTCTGCATTGTCGCCTTGTTTTCACTGCATGATTACACAATCCATTATTAAATATATTTCACAAACATTAGCCATTTCAAATATTTGTGACTCACATTTTGAGAATGAGAATGAGAAGCATTCATTTTATTTACCAGAAAAGAGTCACCTAAAATGAAAAACAAAGTTCCTACTTTTTTTTTCAAAAAAATACTTAGCAATATGAAGAAAAACATTTTTTTAATTACAAAAGTTCAAAGATGGCATCAGGTGGCATCATGAGAAATGTTGACTTTCGAAAGAACCTGGAGGATATGAGGCTATAACCTGTGCATATCACTGTTGGATGAAGAACTCTTGAGTGAGGGCATTAAAAACATGAAGTAAAAATAATTCAGTAAAATATTTAATGGAATTTAACTAAGTGACTTTTAAATGTACCCTAAAAATAAACTTTATTTGACATTTTTTACTTCGGGGGAAAAATCATTCATCTTTGTAGTGTCTATTTGAGTTTTGTTTTATTTGTCTTCACAAAACAATAACTAAATAGAAATACTTTTCTATTAATGGTAAAACAAAATGGTTCCTGGGCACTCGTAAAACTTCAGCTTATCAGTGATAAGAGGTGAGTACAACGCTTGGAATAACTGAGAATGAGAATCCTAACAATTTAGAACATGAAGTCTGAAAGGAAGAAACCATTTAGAACATGCTGTTTTCTACCTGAATTCTCTAAATTCTCTAAAATTTGAGGCTACAAACTTAGAGATCACATTTGGGAAGCATGATATTGGCCATTCTGTTATAAAATATATCATTAAAAGTATAAACAGGTATTTTTACATTCTTCGTATATTTCATGTATGGTGTCAGTGGAGCCCAGAATAGATGGTTACAGCGTTTTCCTTCAGGAAATGTGACACTCACCCATTCGAAGACATTCCAGAGAAGCTTGGCCCCAGTTTCTTGTATATGAGGACTCAATATAGTAACAGTGACCATGGAAAGGAATCCAGGCCGTGTGATCTGACTCCGGACATCTGCCAGGCAGTTGTGGGGGTTCAGTAGCAGGGATTTCTGTTAATAAAAACACATTTTAAATAAAGCAAAACCTGAAGTTCCTGTAGTATGTAGCATCATATATTAGCAGCTACAACAATTGATCATTGATCATTATTTTTAAAAAAAATCTTCCAATGATTATCATTCGGATCACCATATTTATTACTGGGTTTCTTTTTATCAATTTTTCCACTTTGAATATATGTCAATAGAATGTGCTGTGGTATAGTGGCAGTCAATTACACTCATCGTTAAGACAACACATCCATAGACACCTACAAAGATAAATGTTTTAAAAGTCACCACAAAGTAATTTGTAAAGTGACTTCCCTTTTTTAAGTCCCTGTTTTCCTTTTCCGGGATCCTAATCCCTATAACCCTTTCTTAGCTATTAGTAGCACCTGGGATATAACTACATGCTATATTTAGAATTCTAGTATGGTGTCCATCATTGACTGTAGGAATCTACATGTATTCTGATAAAATTCCTTTGATATAGATGTGTTGTCAATATCAAATGTAAGCAAAATTTCCTGGGGAAATGTTCATCTCCATTATTTTGATCTACGTATATTGGTTTATAAAGATAGTCTTTTGTTAAGTGAGGCAGTATGTTTTATATTATTCTTAGCTCTCCAAGATACATTACTGTTTAATAATATCAACAGTGGTAAGTAGTAGCTTATTCAGAAAATTTCAGATCCCCTGATTGTTTTTATATATTCAATTACCATCTGATCTTTTGCAGAGAAAGTAAAAACTTTCATTGCAATATGCTGTCTTCCAGTAGCCATCGAGATCCAGATAAACACATGCTGATTTCAATTTAGGCTCATCAGCAGCCCAGTTAGTGTACCTCACCCTCCACTTATCAGTCCAGGTGTACTGACTATCAGTCTGCAACAACAAAAACAAGCATGAACACGCAGCCTTGCTTCACTTAGAAAACACTAAAAGAACCAATCCAAGAATACAAAGTATATTTAAGACTGTGATTTGACATAGAACCTGGAACATTTGAGAATAAAAAGAACACTATAAATCATTTCTGTCCACTCAAATTCAGTAAATGCAGCGTTTCTTAGAAACAGTTATTTCTTAGAGATCCCCAGGAATACATCCTTGGAAGTAATTTCAAAAAATACTGACAAAAAAATATATATCTCTTATTCCATGAAACTCTCTTTGTTTGCAGGTTTTCAGGGCAAAAGAAAAGTTTTATCTTCACAACGAATAAGATAGTTCTTATATGATTACTGAAATTATAATAAAAATTAAGTAATTTTCATTAAATTCATGGTCCCCTGAGAGAAATACTAATCTCTTCATATCTTCTCGTTATTCTGCTGTTGAAACAGCACCAATGGTAAATGGCTTAGCTAAGGTCATATGGGTATGGAAGAGAGAAGCCTTGGTCTCTTGATGTCTGGTGAGGCAGTCTTTCAGCTATATTCTAGTGAGGTGGTCTTTCAGCTATATGGCATCATATATATATGATGTAAAAAGTCAATCGTTTTAGTCTACTTGCACAGTCTCTTTCTTTCTTTCTTTTTCTTCCTTCCTTTCTTCTTTCTTTCTTCTCCTTTTTTAAAATTTTTTTTCAGAGAAGTCTCACTCTTGTCCCCCAGGCTTGAGTGCAATGGCTCGATCTAGGCTCACTGCAACCTCCACCTCCCGGGTTCAAATGATTCTCCTGCCTCTGCCTCCCAAGTAGCTGGGATTAAGGGGTCTGCCACTAAACCTGGCTAATTTTTGTATTTTTTAGTAGAGACGGGTTTTCACCATGTTGGCCAGGCTGGTCTCGAACTCCTGAACTCAGGGGATCCGCCTGCCTCGGCCTCCCAAAGTGCTGGGATTACAGGCGTGAGCCACTGTGCCCAGCCTGCACAGTCCATTTCTTATTAAATTTAGTGAAACAAATTTATGATCACATACAAAATATTGATAAACATCAAACATATTATTTATCAATAATATCCTTTTAATAGTCTAATAGAGATTTTACAGGTATTGTCTAAGAATAGATGATAGATAACATTATTCAGAGGTAGCTGAATTTTTCAAAGATTCAAGCAATTATCACCCTTTTGACTGTATTTTTTAATTTACCAAGCCAATTGCCAAAAATCCAGTGACAAAAATTAGAAGTATGTGTTATCTCAAATTAGAATTTTGTAGTATTATACCATGTTTAATCAAATAATGCTTGTATAATCATTAACTCTATAGACATAAGGAAGGTAATACTGTTGTAGTGATAAATATTGCTATAATGAAAAACTATTTAATCTTTCAAAAAATAAAAGCTCACTTTAAACTCATAAGAGAATTGTGAACATGTCTGTGAGAAGAAAACAAATGACTTATCAAATGACTTAATTATAAGAACTTAGTCAACAGGGACATAAAAATGTCTTGCCTAAGTTTAATCACAGAAATCATTCTGGAACTACTTACTTTTAAATATACACTTCCCTACTTAGGAGATACTCATTGTATAAATTGCAAATTTCTCTCTCTGCATCATGGCCTTGGAAGCTCTATAACATCTGACACTCATCTACTCTCCAGTTTATCTCCTATTTTTTTTCCCCCTTCTTGATATTCCTTCCTTATGTTCTACCATCCTAGACTGTATGTATAAACTTTGACTTTTTCTGACGAACCTTCTTGGTCCTCCCCACTAGCCCAACTGGTTCCTTTTCTCTCTTCTCATGACACTTTCTATATGTCTCTCTTTGATACGTCTTATATCTTAATTGCTGACCGTCATATCTACTTCTACTAGGAAGCTTGCTGGTTGGCTTAGAAGGATGAATAGAGGGAGGATAGATGGATGACCAGGCATCAGAGACAACTCGTTTTAGGAATAATTTGGCAACTCTGTCAGCATTCTTAGTTTTGTGCTTCAACCCTAGTTTTGTCCAAACTTTGTCTATTATGGAATACAAGGAACGGACTGCAATGAAATATTTCTCACAAATGGATGGGAGCTCCACAACCTCAGAACCTACAACAAGTCTAGAATGTCTTGCCACAAAAAATAAAAAGTGTCCCCATCACTGGCAACTATGTCCCTAACCTGCTTTCTTAATTCTCATGCCATAGTTATAGTCATAACCTTGGAAGCAATAAGTGAATAAATTAAACTGTTGAGATTTTGAATATAATTTTTATAGACTAATGCAATAGGAGAGTTAACATTCATCAGATAATTCTTACTTTGATTTCTGACACACATCACAGCGCTGCCAGGATTTCTAAAAGGCATCACGTCCTGAAAGATGGATTCTTGGTTTGACGTTAGGTACCATTACACGTGCGTAGCACAGTTCCTTAACATGACGAGTTTCAACAGAACAAAACAGAAAGAGAATCATATTCAACATAAATTTACTGATCATGTCAAGGTTGCCACATATTTCCAGCATTCTTACCAAGTACTGTTCATGGGCAATCCACACACGTTCATAGATGGTTTCCAATCTGCTGTTGCCAATGCATACTTGTAGGGATCAGATGCTAAGGCTATAAGGGAATTGTGGAGCTTGCAGGTATATCTTCGTTCGATGCCATTGGAATTTTCTGTTCATGATTTGAATAGGCTTGGCTTTCTTTGCCATTATTTTATAAAGCCATTCTTGTTTGAAATTGTTGGCTGGAGGATTAGTCAAGGAGTCGATCTAGATTAAAAAACATTATTTTCATTGCCATTAATCAATTAACGAGTTAATTTGAGCCCCTATTTCAGTATGACAAGTGGGATCTCATCTATCAAAAATAAGAATAATGATAACTTTCAACATTTAGCTATTTAGGAATGTAAGCTATTAAATGTTATTTAGCTATTTTATAAGCCATTTCACACTAGAACAAACATTTTTCATCAGTATCCTGATCATATTAAATTAATTTCCTAAACTATATTGATGATATTAGAAATAATGAAAGCAAAATCAACTACAAACAAAACATATTGACAAATTCAATCCAATCTAGTTCTTGGATGAAGAATGCCGGTAGTTTATTCCCACATTAAAGACATAGATGACTGGCGTCATTTGTTAAATCTTTATTGTTTTCCATGTAGGTTAAAGTCTAAGGTCAAGAAAAAGTCTTTCTCTTCCTCCCTTCATTTTTTTCTTACTTGATCATGAGTTTGTTATCTGTTTTGCACTTTCACTTTTTGAGTAATGCACTTCGGGGTGATCGGCGGTTTAGGTTCAGAATGAAGCCATACACAAGATTCGCCCCGTGGCTTGTTTAACTTGATCTCAGGAATCAAGCTTTACTCTTCGGATGATTTTCTATTGCCCTTTCGCCCTAGTGTAAAGCCTCCATAATCTTGTATCCAAACTGGCCTAGGGTTAGAGCCCTACAAGAAAAATCGCTTCAGGGCTTTCTGATTCTTTTGTTCCAAGGTTCCTGCATGGTTGTTTTAATCACTGCATTGTGGCCCCCCTGAACTCTGGGAGCAACTTATGTCCAAGAACCCCCACAAGAAGCTTGTTTCTGGCCTGTCTTTAACTGATCCTTAGAAGTCAGCAAATAACAGCCAGGGATGAAATTGGACGGTGGTTGTCTGTTTTGTATTCCATAATGCTACAAAGTTTTTAAAATGGTTGGGGATTAGAAGGGCAAATCAAAGAGGAATAATATTTCATGATCCGTGTAAATATTTAACATGAAATTCAAGATTTGTGTCCCATAATAAAGTCTTTACTGGAACGAGGCCACTTCATTGGTTTTATTAATTGCCTGATGGACCATCTTGTGACCACAGCAGGATGTTGAGTATTTGCAGTAGAGATTTGTATGTCCTGCAAAACCTTAAATATTTGAATCTGGTTCTTTTGCTCTGGGTCTAGGGATCTAGATATTTCTGGTTACGTGTAGTATCCTGGCCAATTCCCCAACATGTCCCATTTTATGCCTCATGACCTGCCATCGGCCTTGTCCTGCACTACAGAAGTGCCAACTTCTATGTTTCATTTCATTTCATTTTATTTTATTTTAGAGTCAGGGTCTTGTTCTATTACCCAGGCTGATCTTGAACTCCCGGCCTCAAGCAACCCTCCTGCCTCAGCCTCTCAAAGTGCTAGAATTACAGGCATGAGCCACTACACTTGGTGATAATTTATAGTTTATAAAAGTTTATATGCTACCTTTTTTCACTTTAATACTGTGAATCTTTCCTTAAGTCATTAAAAATTTGCAAGCAATTTTTATTTGTGGCAACATATTCTGTCATGTATGTGTATAAGGAAAAGAAAGAGAAGATTTTTAAATAAGTGTGTGAATCACCATTCACTTCTGGAAGGAGTGTCCCCTCTTGGCCCAAAGAACAGAGGCAAAGATGGTATGCTTTGGTATTACTGGTGACCTAAGATTCTGGTGCTATAGAGTGTAGTATAGAGAGAAAAATGACATGCACTGGGATGGCTTTTGGATTAAGAAAAGGTTAGGATTTCTGGAGTACTTCTCAACCATCTGAAAATATCTTAGATGGTTTTCAATTATTGTCATGAGTTGACATTACTTCCCTGATTTCCCAAATAGTATAGAAAAATTCATTAGGTCTGGGAGAATAAGGACCTTCCAACTCAAACCCATCCTTTAAGAACTCTACTCAGGATGACAGCAACCCTCCCCACCTTCAACCCTCTTGTCTAATCTATTTTTAAATTTCTGACCCTTTTGTGTAGCTATGCGGTAGGAGGCAGGACTCGCTCCAGACCAGATTGAAGACTGGCTGAAACCTCTCCATAAGGCACACCCACCACTGCTGTGGCAGCCCTCAGAAGTTAACATTCCTTTTCCAAAAATTTGGATGTAATTAAAAGTGGGTATAAATATGAGTGCAGAACTTAATGCCTATGTCATAAGCTCTGCCCCACGAGAAGCAGTATGTCTGCTGCTGCTGTGCACTGTTTCTTTAATAAAAGTTGTCAACACCACCAGCTCGCCCTTAAATTCCTTCCTGGGTGAAGCCAATAACCCTTCCGGGCTAAGCCCCAGTTTTGGGGCTCGCCTTCCCTGTCAACTAGGCATTTTTATTCTAGTTTCTCTAGAAACGAAAATGTATTTAAACACCATCTTAATTGACAGCAGATGTCTGCATATTGTGTTATTTTCATTTAACCATATTCTGGCTTTCTAAGATGAAAAAAGAAACTCAGATCATATATCCACATGTTTAAGGCACACAAGATACAGGACAAATAATGAGGCATATAGGATGCTTTATGCCAAAAGTTCTCAAATTACCTGAATTAAACGGAAGTATTCCTATTCTGACATTTTAAAAAGGTACAGGCAAGCAAATATCCCAAATTTCTAATAGAAAGTTTTAGTGACAGGTTTAGTCTGCCCAAAACTGTCTGGTTAAAAAAAAAAAAAAAAAGAAGAAAGCAGATTCCTGAATTAAGTACAGAAAATATCACCCTTTTTGTCTGTCACAGGCTTCTATGGATTAAAGCAACAATCAAACCTGTTGCTATGGAAGGGAATGATCATATATTTTATTTGTTTGTTTTTGTTTTTATTTTATTTTTGTGAGACAGGGTCTCACTCTGTCACCCAGACTGGAGTGAGTAGCATGATCATGGTTCACTGTAGTCTCAGCCTCTCTGGCTCAAGTGATCCTCTCACCTCAGCCTCCCAAGTAGCTGGGACTACAGGCACAAGTCACCACACCTATAGTCACAGCTAGAAAAGGAAAATAATTTTGTAAAAGTACAAAATAATTTTTGTATTTTTTGTAGAAATAGGATTTCACTGGGTTACCCAGGCTGGTCTCAAACGCGGGGGCTCAAGCAATCCACCCACCTCAGTCTTCAAAAGTGCTGGGATTACAGGCATGAGTCACAGTGCCCAGCCATGATTATATATTTTAAAGTACATTTAAAAACATAGCTCTTCATCAGGACAAATAGCTAATGCATGTGGGGCTAGGTGATAGGTTGATAGGTGCGGCAAACCACCATGGCACATGTACACCTATACAACAAACCTGCATGCTCCGCACATATATCCCGGTACTTAAAATAAAATAAAATAAAATAAAATAAAATAAAATAAAATAAAATAAGTGAGGTTGGGCACAGTGGCTTACTCCTGTAACAGCACTTTGGGAGGCCGAGGCAGGTAGATCACCTGAGGTCAGGAGTTCAAGACGAGCCTGGGCAACATGGAAAACCCCATCTCTACAAAAAATACAAAAATTAGCCAGGCATGGTGGTGCATGCCTGTAATTTCAGCTACAAAGCAGAAGAATTGCTTGAACCCAGGAGGCGGAAGTTGCAGTGATCTGAGTTCATGCCACTGTACTTCAGCCTGGGCAACAGAGCAAGACTCTGTCTCAAAAAAAAACAAAAAGAAAAAAAAAAGTGAAAAAAAACCCCAGCTCCTTCAGGAAGGAAGGTTTTGGTAGAACTTACCAGATCGTGTCTGGCATATGTAGCCTCGTTTACCGTCACAGGTATCATCCATCCATTTTCCTGCTTCGTTTGATGCACCTCCAATAATAACAACACAGTCAGCCTGTATATTTATGGAGAATGAAAAAGAAAACAATCATGAATCAATGACTATTGAAATCAATTCATTAATATGCAAAAAATCTTCCATTATCCCTGATTTCCAAATTTTAAGATTGTCCTAATTTAAAATATGCTCAATCCATCATTACTTTCTACCCAAGTGTACCTACTATGCATATCCTCCGCATTTGAACTCTCACTATATGAATTGAAAACCCAGCCGATTTGGATAAATTTTGGAGACAGGCCTTAGAAATTTTGCTATCAGACCTTTTATTAATCACTTTCAAAACTTAGAAACCAAAGAAACTAGGAGAACGCAGTATCTTCTCCATACACACTACCAGTATCCAAACGCAAAAGTAGGTAACATCTTTTTAAAGGGAAATGAGCACAATCTATATATTTCATTGCTAAATTTATAAAAGTATTATTACAGATTCATAGTATGTGACTGGTATAGCCAGAAAGTTTCACATCTTATTTATAATCTTACAGGGGAGTATGCCAGGACTGGAACAATATTGTATTTGTTTGGTTGTGAATGTGTTTGCCATTCCAAATCCTTCTTTCCTTTAAGTACTAAATATATCTCAGATTTTTGTTTTTTGGGTTTTTTTTTCCCTGAAATGCCATTATTTCCATCTAATCCTCATATCTGGTCCTGTTGGAGTAGAGGTGAGAGAAACACATGCTGCCTGCCCCATTTCAATATACAATCTGAACTTTAATTTGAAATATGGTATTTTGCTCATGTAAAGTAAGAGAAGGCCAGGCGCAGTGGCTCACAACTGTAATCCCAGCACTTTGAGAGGCCAAGGCGAGAAGATCGCGTGAGCCTGGGAGTTCGAGATCAGCCTGGGCAATATAGGGAGACCTCAACTCTACAAAAAATAAACAAAATTAGCTGGGCATGGTGGTGCATGTCTATGGTCTCAGCCAGTCAGGAGACTGAGGTGGGAGGATCACTTGAGCCTGGGAGGTTGAGGCTGCAGTGAACTATGTCCATACCACTGCCAACTCCAGCCTTGGCTGAGAGACAAGGACCTTGAGAGGGAGGGAGGAAGGAAGAAGAAGGAAGGAAGAAGGAAGGAGGGAGGAGGAGGAGAGGAGGAGAGGAAGAGGAGGAGGAGAAGGAGATGAGGGGCTGAGGGGAAGTCAGAAATAAAGACAAGAGACCTAGTCAAAATCATTTTACTTTTTGCTGGAGCCCCCAAATTTCACTATGTTTATTTTCACAGTTATCTTCATTTTTGTTTGTTTTTTTTGTTCCATTTGTTTTTGAGATGGAGTCTCGTTTTCTCGCCAGGCTGGAGTGCGAGTGTGCAATCCTGCTCACTGCAACCTCTGCCTCCTGGGTTCAAGCAATTTCCTGCCTCAGCCTCCCAAGTAGCTGGGACTACAGGTGTGTGCCACATGCCCAGCTAATTTTTTACTTTAGTAGGAGATGGGTTTCACCATGTTGGCCAGGATGGGTTCTCGATCTCTTGGACCTCAGTTGACTAACCCATCTCGGCCTCCCAAAGTGCTGGGATTACAGGCATGAGCCACCACACCTGGCCAGTTATCTTCTATTTATGGTGACTATATCAATTTTCCACTTTCTCCTAAAAAGAAGTTTTCTTTTAAAGTAAACTTAAGCAAAAAAAAAAAAGGAGTACACTTAAAGAAAATGTTGAGGACTTTAAGTTTCTAGTTTGATATATAAGGAGTTTGGAAGTTGTCACTCCCATCCACAATGCAAGAAAAAGGCTAGAAAAGCTGAAAATCAACAACTTCTTTTAAACGCATTGGAAAATGGAGGTCACAAGACAAACAGCTGCCCCCCAAATTGGAGAAACAGACTGATGGATACAGGGAATCAGAACTGACCAGAGCAGAAGCCCAGGAGCAGAGAACGGGAACCAGTATTGAGGCAGGAGATACTAAATGTCATTGACACATTGCTGGAGGTTCAGTGTGGACAAGTTTGAAAATTAAAAACTATTGGCAGAGGAGTACATGGGGAGGCAGTCCTAGGGAGATTCCAGAGTTTTGTGAGTTTTCCTTCCAGGAGCCCTACCGGATTCTTACAGTGCAGACTGGAGAAAAATCTCCACTTGCTTCCAACAGGAGAGGTGGGAGAAGAGCCATTTTTAAATACGACAGAGCATTCATTCTGTTCTTAATAAGACCAGCACTCAAGAGCGACAACTTTACCCGTGCTTAACTGACTGTGGTTTCACCACATAAGCTAACCTAGTAGAAAAGAAATACTCAACTCCAGCCTCTCCAGCTTTCCCGTCTCACCCAAAAGGAAAAAGCAATAAAACAAAACTGAGAAGCACTTTTGAAGGTCATAGCACAGATTCCCTAAAAGTCCGAGTCCCCATCCTAGGACTACGAAATACTTCCCCTCCCCAATATCTTACAGCCATATCCTTGGGGCTCCCGTATGACAACAGGCAGATACAGCCGAAGAACTGTGCCTCTCTGACATTATTTAAGAAGTCTTTAGGAGAACCCAAAGACAACAGGAGAGACAGAAACAAGGACACCAGAAATTTTAACCTCTGACACCTAAAGTGACAGCAAACAGCAAACACAGCGTAACTCGTAGCTAAATAAACACAAAACCTCACACTAAATGTCTATTTACCTCTGTTCCCTTTATCCACTACATCAGCAGTTCCCAACCTTTTTGGCACCAGGGACCAGTTTCATGGAAGACAAACTTTCCACAGACTGGGATGGAGGGTGGTTTCCAGATGATTCAAGCACATTATGCTTATTGTGCACTTTATTGCTATTATTATTACATTGTACCATGTAATAAAATAATTATGTAACTCACCATCACGTAGAATCAGTGGGAGCCCTGAGCTTGTTTCCCTGGTCAATCTGGTCCCATCTAGGGGTGATGGGAGACGGTGACAGATCATCAGGCATTAGATTCTCATAGGGAGTGCGCAACCTAGATCCCGCGCATGCACAGTTCACAATAGGGTTCACGTTTCTATGAGAATCTAATGCCGCTGCTGATCTGACAGGAGGCGGAACTCAGGCAGTGATACGAGTGACGGGGAGTGGCTGTAAATACAGATGAAGCTTTGCTCACTCGCCTGCCGCTCACCTCCCGCTGTGAGGCTCAGTTCCTAACAGGTCATGGATTGGTACCCATCTGCGGCCCGTGGGTTGCAGACCCCTGCACTATAATATATATGCAGCTTTCAACATAAAAATATAAGACACACTAAAAGATTTTTTAAACAGACACACACAGTTTGAAGCGAAGAGCAAGCATAATAAGCAGACTCGGATGTGACAAAGGTAGTGGAATTATCAAAAATTTAAACAACTATGAATTATATGCTAAGGACTCTAACGTAAGAAGTGGACAACAAGCAAGACTGGGTAGCTAACATAGGCAGAGAGATGAAAATGCTAAGAAAAAATCAAAAGGAAATTCTAGAAATCAAAAACACCTTAACAGAAATGAAGACTATCTCCGATAGGCTCACTGGGTGTGGCCCAGGAAACGAGAGAAAGGAACAGAAGAAGTATTATTTGAAGCAATAATGACTTAGAATTTCCCAAAATTAATGATTGACAGCAAATCACAGATCCAGGAAGCTCAGAGAACATCAGACAGGATAAATACTAAGATACGACATCTAGACACATAATACTCAAATGGCAGAAAATCAAAGATGAAGAGAAAATCTTGAAAGACGCCTGAGGGAAAAAACACTCTTATCCATAAAGAAGCAAGGATAGTAATTACATTGGATTTCTTTTCAGAAACCATGCAAGCAAGAAGAGTGGAATGTAATATTTAAAGTGCTGAAAGAAAAAACCCACCAACCTAGAATTCTGTCTCCAGTGAAATTATCCTTAAGAAGTGAAAAGAAAACAAAGACTTTCTCAGACAAACAAACATAGAGAAAATTTGTTGCCTGTAAACTTAGCTTGAAAGAAATGTTAAAAGGAAAAAAGAAGGAAAATTATATATGTCAGAAACTCAGGTCTATATAAATGAGCATTAGAGAAGGAATAAATGAAAAAATACAGAATTTTTCATTTTCCTTATTCTGAACTCATCTAACAGATACCAGTTTGTTCAAACAACTATAGGACTCTAAGGACTAAACAACTAAGGACTCTAATGTAAAAAGTGGACAACAATGTATTTGGTGATAATGTATTTGGTGATAATAGCTTATAGATAAGTGAAATAAATTATAGCAATGTTACATGGGAGACGAGGAAGAAGTAGGAGATGCTTTCTTACATGCTATTTGAAAAAGGACTCGAATTAGTTATAAATGTATACTGTAAACTCAAGAGCAACCACTAAAGAAAGTTTGTTTTTGTTTTCGTTTCAGGCCAAGAATGGTGGCTCGTGGCTGTAATCCCAGTACTTTGGGAGGCCAAGGTAGGAGGATTGCCTGAGCCCAAGAGTTCAAGACCAGCCTGGGTAACATAGAAAAACCCCATCTTTATTTATAATAAAAATAAAAAAGAAAAGAAAAAAGTTTTCTTAAAGTATAATTGGTATGCTAGGAGTGGAGAACAAATAAAATGATACAAAATATTGAAGTAAAACCAGAGAAGGCAAGAAAGAGTGGAAGACAAAAAAATGAAATGCAGAATAAAAACAGAAAACAATAACAAATATGATAGGTGTTAACCCAGCTATATCAACAATCGTTTTAAATGTTAGTGGTCTAAATACACAAATTAACAGAGACTCATATCTTGGTACAAGAAATTCACTTTAAATATAAACATACACATAAGTTAAAAGTGAAGAAAAATGGAGAAAGATACACTATACTAACACTAATCAAAAGAAAGCTGGACCAGCTGTATTAATTTCAGACAGAGTAGACTGTAGGGCAAGGAAAGTTACCAGAGGTAAAGAGGAACATTACATAATGATCTAGCAGACAATTCCCCACGAAGACATAACAGTCTGTATTGCGTATGTGGCCAACAGTAGAAAATCAGAATACATAAAGTGAGAACTGATAGAACTGCAAAGACAAATAGATAAATCCATGATTAGGAATGGAGACTTCAATACTCTTCTATCAAAAATAGACAGATCCAGCAGGCAAAAAATCAGTAAGAAGATAATTAAACTGGACAGTACCATCAATCAAACAGATCTCATTGACATCTGTAAACTACTTCATCCAATAACAGTAGAATATATATTCTTCTCAACATCACATGAAACATTCACCAAGACAGACCATATTCTGAGCCATAAAACATGCCTTAACAAATTTAAAAGAACAGAAAACACATAAACTATTCTCTAAGATCACAATGGAATTAAACCAGAAATCAGTAACAGTTGGAAAATTCCAAAATACCTAGAAATTAAAGAAAATGTTAAATCAATAATAATACACTAATAGTGATACACAAAGACAACCAAAAAAGGTGACTGCAGTTTTTCTGAATGAAAGTACATAAGAGACGTGTCACTGTAAAGTCAACACATCTTTAACCCATCCCTTGAGCTACAGTGAATCACAGCCTACACTCCTGCCACAGACATCTTGTCAACCTGCAGTGTCTTCATCCCATGTGATACAACTATCAGGCAACCTGAAACTTACATTTCAAAAGTTCTCCAGTCACCCCATTTCCTTTCTTAACTATTTTTATCCCCCATTATCCTGGCTCAGAGTCTCTGATCCAGAAAACCTGTCACAATCCAAGCATGTTTCCACCACGAAACACATATTAAAAGTTCTGTCCCATTCTCCTTTTCTAACTATATTCATCTTCTCCATTTTAAAGTCCTGAAACTGTTTTTAAAAAACCATTGCCGGGAGCAGTGGCTCATGCCTGTAATCCCAGCACTTTGGGAGGCCAAGGCGGGTCAGGAGTTGGAGACCGGTCTGGCCAATGTAGTGAAACCTCGTCTCTAATAACAATATAAAAAAAATTAGCCAGGTGTGGTAGTGTGCTCCTGTAATCCCAGCTACTCATGAGGCTGGGGCAGGAGAATCACGTGAACCCAGGAGGCGGAGGTTGCAGTCGAGCCGTGAATGCCGTCACGCAGGTGTCAGTGTTTTGGGCCGGGGTGTGACCAGTGTGAGCTCATCTCAAAAAAATAAAATAAAATAAAACTCAGCATTGTTGTATTTCTGCATTCCATTTTTGTGAAATTACGAAATCTTAGTCGCTTTGTAACATACCAGCTCATGAAAAAGTCTGGAAAAAAATCAACAAAAAATTAACCCAGGTTTTGTTTTCTGCAATTCGTGAGATTGTTGACGAGCGACTTTCTTTGTGGTTGCTTTTTATTGGTTTCTGTCTTGTGCTTTCATGTTCAAACAACACGAAACAACTGTGTGATGATACATGAATTTTTTAGTTTTACAAAGAAAATTCACCTCTCATCCCATTAAATCCCTCTAACAAAAATCTCGTCCCTTGACTTTCCACTCCTTGCCGAGTAATCTTGCCAGCGGCGCCGCCGGCCTTGTGCATGAAAAGTAAAGAATGTTTCCACAAAAGATATTGTACCCGGACGACGCAGTTACTGTCTTTTTATCCTAGAGTAGTAAAGCAAGTTCTATTCAACGAATAAAGAAACAAAAGAAAATGGCTACTTCACAGGACCAGAGCAACCTACGGCTGCGGTGCTGGGCTCCACACCAAATGTATCCACCTGGCAAATAGACTACTCAGTGCATGTATTAATTGGTCATGAAGAATGCCATGGGTTGAGCATGGTCATTTTTCTTTCTTTTTCTTTTTTTTTTTTTGTTCTTTTTTTGCGGTTAATTCCGACAAGATGTCCAAACTCCATCATTGCAGTGCCATCGCTACATTTCTTAAATCTCCTGTACTTTCCACTTGGTTTGGTAGCATTACTGCGACTTCTTTTTCTGCATAGGAAGCACTCCTGCCTACATGCGGAAAGCCATTTCTCCATTTGTTTTTTTTTTTTTCTTCCCCAACACACATCATGGGATCTCGTGCTTGAAGACTGGCCCACCCTTGACGCATCTACATTGGCGCGTTTTCATCCCTCTTTGGCTAAGTCTCCCGTAGTCTATTATGTTTTCTTTAAAGTTCTTGAAACACAAAAACCCAGGATCGGAGCCGTGGTGGCTCTGCATGCCTGTATTGCCCAGCAACTTTGGGGAGGGCCAAGCGCATGGTGCGATCACTTGACGCTCAGGAGTTGGAGCACACCCTGGGCCAATATGTAAAGGCCTCTCGTACTAACAATGGCAAAATTAGTGCATGAAATGCGACCAAGTCCCGGCATGTTAGATGTAGCTGAGGCAAGAAATCTTGAACCTGAGTGGGAGATTGCAGTTGAGCGAGATCATGTCCACTGACTCCCAGGCTGGCCAACGGCAAGTGAGAGGCTGACCCGAGAGAGTGAACAGAGAGATAGAAGGAAGAGACAGAGAGAGAAAGGGACGAGGGAGGAAGGAACGAGGAGGGAGGGAGGGAGGAAGGACCCATAGCTGATTCTTTTTCATATTTCTTTCCTCCATCATGGACAAAGACAGTGTCCAGCACATAGGACACCATAGATGTGTGTCGCCTGATTAAGTCACCACCTTCCACAGTGAGTTTGTTTCCTCTTAGCTGCTACAGTGTTTATAGCTGATCCTGTCATTAGACATGTTCATTTCTTTCCTATCTTCCTTCTTATATAAGACTTGTGGTCTAGTTTAAGTGTACACATTTTTAAGGTAAAAACAAAATCTTCCATTTCGTCACACATTTTACAATCCCTAACATGGTGTTGATGTTGATAAGTTGGTTGTTCAATTATATAAGAAAAAAAGTAGTAAAATAAAGTAGCAATCTGTCTCCCAGGTTGGCGTACAAAAGCATCTGGCACATAATAAGCAGTCTACAAATATTAGCTCATGATCATGATGGTGATGATGATGGATGATGATGATGATGTGATCTTTAGAAGCAGTAGTAGCTTCCAGGCCTATACCCCAACTACTACAGCAGCTGCAAGGGATAAGGGGAAGGTGACACAAAGAAAGTTGATAACTCTAGGTTGAAGTGTTTCTTTTGACTGCAAGTTAGGCTTAGAATGGAACTGGGTTTCCTGACCCCTCACTATCGCCACTTCCCCAAGCTAAAGATTTTTTAACTGAATATATATTCCCTCCCTCCAAGTCAGCTCAGTCTGAAATAGGTAAAATCTGCAAGCATGGACCAGACCAAGGAGTATTCTGGTAGATTCTTTCATGGAAGAGTAACCAATAAGATGATAACCCTATGCAAGCTGATGGTGTGTAGAGAGGTGACCTGAATCTGATATTTACATCTTCATAAGACAGACTGCTTCTTCTTCCCCCGGGGTAACCTTTCCCCCAGTTTGTGTAATGAACTCCTCGTCCATCCGTCCAAAGGAACGTGTGTTCTGAATTGACATCATTCAGCCCAGTCCAGGCACTGAAAGTGGAGTCCTTCATGTGATAGGTAAGAAATGCTGAAAGAAAATGTCATGAAATAATTTTAAACTTTGAGGGTTAATACTCAAAATATGGAAAATATTCAAAATATATGAATTTCAAAATACTGAGCATGTGATTTGTGTCACTGTTACTTAAAAACACTTACAATGAACACACGAACATTCTAATATCAGCATTGTGTTATCACTTGAGCTTTGGACTTTGAAAAGTTTCATACAATAAAAGTCTAGGTTTTATCTAGGCCACTGAAGACAGTTGTGCAAGTTGCACCCTGCCCGAGGGCTCCATTCTGTGCACCCTTATCTGGGTTGTGACTGCCTACAACCACAACTTTTTCTAATTCATAAAAAGTCACCATATGGATTAGTGGCTGTCCTGATTCTGTAAATAAGATAATCTGATTTATATAATAACCATGGGACAAAGGACTCTTAACCTAGACAGTTCTGAAAAAATAAAAACTGTCAAAACAAGAATCATTAGATTGTTGATATGATTTGGCTCTGTTTCCCCACCCAAATCTCACCTGCAATTGTCATAATTCCCATATATTAAGAGTGGGACTAGGTGAAGGTAACTGAATCATGGGGGATGTTTCTCCCATTCTGTTCTCATGATAGTGAATGAGATGAGTTCTTACAAGAGCTGATGGTTTTATCTTTTAATGCTTTGCTTTGTGCTTCTCTGTCCTGCCACCATGTGAAGAAGGACATGTTTGCTTCCCCTTCCACCATGATTGTAAATTTCCTGAGGCCTCCCCAGCTACGTGGAAGTGTGAGTCCATTAAACCTCTTTCCTTTATAAATTACCCAGTCTTGGGCAGCTCTTTACAGTAGTGTGAGAAGAGACTAACACAGTTGTCAAATTCTCAGTATCTCAGATTGCCAAACCAAAAGTTTCCCAATTGAGATTCCTCCTGGGGAGGTGGGGTAGAAATCCCTGGAGATCAGTTGTCCATCTACTCAGTGTGCTTGGATCCAGGGGACCATCCTGATGCGAAAACGCTCACATCAGGGGCTGGGGATGGTGGCTGGTGCCTGTAATCCTAGTGCTTTGAGAGGCAGAGACAGGAAGATTGCTTGAGGCCAGGAGTTCAAGAGCAGCCTGGGCAACATGGTGACACCCTGTCTCTACAAAGAAATACAAAAATTAACAAAGCATCGGTGGCATGTGCCTATAGTCCCAGCTTCTCAAAAGGCTGAGGCAGGAGGATTGCTTGAGCCCAGGAGGTTGAGGCTGCAGACAGTCATGGTTGTGCCACTGCACTTCAGCCTGGGCAACAAAGGGATACCCCATCTCTACACAAATCAATCAATAATAAATTGCTCACATCACTGGATGATACTATAAAATATGGCTTCTTGCTTCTCAATTCTGTGACCAAGCAGATGGTGGCAAACATCCAAGAGACATAAAAGGTTGAATTGTACATGTGTCCCTCCCCTTCCCTCGGCCCACCACCAGGCCTCCCATGGCAGCTGCCATCTGGGGCCAGAACCACCACCTGAGCCATTACTTCCAAGACCGACAAGTACCTACTCTACTAAACAACAATTTGCAAACATTTACACTTAAACACGTCTCCTGAATGTAAATAGGAAATAGAATGACTAAGCACTCAGGGTTACTAATAGAAAATACAAAATAGAAATCTGCAGAGATGTAATTATCTGTGTATTCATGAACAAACAAGTTCATGGAATTTTAAGCAATTCCATTGCTATACGCTTACTCTTTCTGCAGAGTAGAAGAGGCAGCTACCATCTCACTCAGAGACTTCTATTTTTCTCAATTAACTAAAGATTTTTTTTAAAAAATTCTTCCAACTTTTTCAGAAAAGAAAAAAGAGCATAAGTACAGCTAGATATGGTGGCTCACACCTGTAATCTCAACAATTTGGGAGGCCAAGGTGGGAGGATCACTTGAGGTCAGAAGTTTAAGGCCAGCCTGGGCAACATAGAAAGACCCTCTCTCTACAAAAAAATTTAAAAATTAGCCAGGTATGATGGTGCACACCTGTAGTCCCAGCTACTTTGGAGGCTAAGACATGAGGATTACTTGAGCCCAGGAGTTGGAGGCTACAGTGAGCTATAATCACATCAATGCTCTCCAGCCTGGGTGATCAAGCGAGACCCCGTCTCTAAGAAGAAAAGAGCATGGGTAGATAGTTGTTTTGGTTTTGTTTTGTTTTCCAAATACGACCATAACTTTTGCCTCATCCCCAGCTTGAAATGAAACATGGAAAAGCTCTACCTGCCAAGATTCAGCACTTTTTTCTGCCAACAACCACAATAAGAACTCAACGACGTGTGCCTGTTTTGCCAGGAATAATGTTATTTTATCTGAAAATTGTTTCCTTCTGCACATCTCTATTATCCAGTTTCAGTTTCATTGTGCCAGGAATCAGCACTTTGTGGTTAACAGGGGAAATCAATTATTGTGTTTCTCTGCTGGGTAGCTAAGCCCAAAATGGGGTAGGCCAGTTGGAGAAATGTGAATGTTATGTTCTTGTACTGTGTGCTTTGGTTTGACCCTTTTCTTTCAGTGCCTGACAAATTGCTCAACTTGTCAAACGTTCTCAGTGAAAGCTTGGTTGGGATTTATTGTACAATGTGTTCTCAGAGAGCACATGGTGGCATTCACAAAGCCAAATAAGACTTTTGAGAGAGCACCCTACATGTTTCTAGTGCCTTTCTTACTTCTTATGTTTTTCTTCTATTTTCTTTCTCATATCATTTTTGAAATAAATGATTCTAGAAGTCAAAGAATCTCAGAACCGAAAGAGAGCTTACAGAATATTCAGTCCATATGTCTCCTACCATGTCCTTATAAAGTTATATATACAACAAACAACTGTTGAGCATCTTCTGTACTACATACCAGCTAACATACAGGATGCTCTAGCATCCATCTGAGTATCTTCCAGTGTAAGCATTTTCACAGCCCTTTAGAAACTTCACCTTCCTCACAAAGCAGTCTATCCAATCAATTCTGTAACAATGGCCCCTAACCCCTAATTTTGAGCCTAAATCTATTTCCCTGTGACCATTGCTCATTGGTTCCGGGTCTTGTATCTGAGGCGACACAGGGTGATCCTTCAAAATCCACATCCTCTCTTTTCCAAGTTGTATAACCTGAGAGTCTTACAACCCTGACTCACTTGCAGTGATTTCCAAACCCTTCATCAGTTTAGTCTGAATCTCCTGCAGCTGGTCAAAACCCTCCTTAAAGGGCAAGTCACAATTTAACCTAATACCTATTTCAGTGGATGCCTCCACAGAAAGATCAGGTAGAAATGGTGGGCACCTTTCTTTTGATGACAATATCATGATTTTTCCATCTGCTCTATGAATATGGTGAATATTCTCCTTCATAGTTCTTGCTTATTTTCATGTTTTATCAAAAAATGTTTCAAAGCCAGGTATGGTGGCTCACACCTGTAATCCTAACACTTTGGGAGGCTGAGGTGGGAGTTTAAGACCAGCCTGGGCAACATAGTGAGATTCTATCTCTACAAAACAACAACAACAACGACAACAACAACAACAAAAACTTAAAAAAAAATTAGCCGAGCATTATGACTCAGGCCTGCCCTAGCTACCCAGGAGGCTGAGGCAAGAGGATTGCTTGAGCTTAGGAGTTTGAGGCTGCAGTGTGTTATAATCCTGGGCAACAGAGTAAGACCTTGTTTCAAAAAAAAAAAAAAAAATCGAAATTTGTTCAAACTTCATATTTAAAATATCAGTTGTGTTGCATTACAAGTTATATGATCAAGTGACTTGTAATGCAATAAATGGAAAAGCAGAGCAATAAATGGGAAAGCAGCAATTTTTCATCTTATTACTAGAAGTACTCTTCTTTGACTCTTTGGGAGCAAACTGGTTTGGTAGAAAGCTGGACAAGCCTAGGTTTCATTCCCAGCTAGACTGCTTAACAGGCAAGCTCCTTCACTCAAAGCTGTCCATGTACCATTTCCCCACTCACAAAATGGGGTTATAATACCTGCTTCTTAGAGTTGTGATGACTTTATATAAGGACTTTATATAAAATAAACGGCTTAATATGCACTATAATTGAATAAAACAGTTTTCAATAAGCATTTGATTTTTTCCACTTTCTTAACTTTTACACTGGAAAACCAAAAAGTCATTTACTGTCAGCGATATTTTACCATTTTGCAGTCAAAATTCCATATTTAAATGCACAACTAATTGCAAAATGGCCGCATACCTTGCTCTTTTTCATTTTGTATGGAGACCAGATTCCCTCCAAAGCCTATACAAGCTTTTCGTGCCTCTTGCCAAGTTTTTCTTTCTTCTTCAACAAATCCAAAGATTTTGAAACACTGGGATGGAAGGGGGGGGCAGAAAAAAAAAAGAAAAACCATGGGGGTTAACTAAAGATGATCAACTTTGCTCTACCAAAAGCAAAATTATTCATGAAGATTATAGCTAAATCAGAAATTTCTCACCACCAACTAGAGATTTAAAAAACTGTTAGTTTTATGACCCACTCACTTTCTTTGCAAAGTTTTATTCTCCCTCGGGAGAAAGGGTACATCAATGTGGGTAATATCTCAAGTATGCTCTCAATTTCCATAGAGAGTTTGTCATGCAAATCTTCACCTAGTCTTGCCAAAAATTTTCTAAAGTGATGAGGCTAGCAAAAGTTAACTTTGAGCTGAAAGATTTGCATCACTCTCCATACTGATCAGTGCCAAGATTGCAACTAATTCTCCTAGTACCTTGTTGTTGTAGAAATTCCAACCTTCCTTGCACCCTGATGGGACCGAGGGTTTCGTAGGCATAACCGTGGTAGCATTGATACTACTGTTATGTCGCTGGCAAATGAAGGCATTTGGATAGCCACAGTTAATGTCATTCCAAAACCCTGGCAAAGAGAAAAATAGTTAAATTAGATTCCCATGTTTATGTTTTAAAACATTATTTTTAAAAACTATATTTATATTTTATAAGAATTCTCAAAACTTATTTAGACTGTAATCAAACTTGGTTTTTACATGTGACTAGAGGTATCCATGCAATATCCTTTTGCTGTTTTACTTAAACTAATAATAGTTCCACTTTATAGAGAGCATCCTATGAACCAAACAGGTACTTGATGTTGCAGATATATTACCTAAATGGTAATAGCTAATAATAATAACCTAACAATAGCAAACTTTGTATACACCAAGCATCTACATAGTATTTTAGATGTATGATTTCATTTCATCTTCTCAACAATTGATAGATTCTGTCATTATTCCCATTTTGCAGAATAATAAGGAGCCAGAGAGAAATAAAGGAGATAGATAAACAAATTCTGGATAATTTTTTTCAAATCAGAACATGAAAAAGTGGTTCCTAATTTGGGAAGAAGTGAGAAGATTAAATATGTCATTTACTAGTGTAAATGTTAAGCATCCATTCTCCTTATAAATTGAACTGCTATGTTGCTAAAATTAGAATTATTCTTTATTCTCTCTCCTTATCTTGCCTGACATAACGCACAACTTGCTACTTTTAGTCTAGGCATGTGGCAAATGACACGCCATGCCACAAAGCAAATTCAACATGCATGACTTGCCTACCTGAATTTGAATACATGGTCACACAGTTTTCATCCTCATTTGCAAAATTGGGTTCACCTGTGGCCCAAGACACGTAATCCACTTTGCTTCCATCCATCCAACTGGAAAAGAAAATTCAGGCATTTTGCAATGATCCAATCATTAGAATAATTGGATACAGGTCAGGAGCAGTGGCTCTCGCCTGTAATCCCAGCACTACAGGAGGCCAAGGCGGATGGATCACCTGAAGCCAGGAGTTTGAGACCAGCCTGACCAACATGGCAAAACTCCATCTCTACTAAAAATTAAAATTAAAAAAAAAAATTAGCCAGGCATCGTTGTGGGCTCCTGTAATCCCAGCCACTCGGGAGGCTAAGGCAGGAGAATCGCTTGAACTGGGAGGCGGAGGCTGCAGTGAGTCAAGATCGCACCATTGCACTCCAGCCTGGGCAACAAGAATGAAACTTAGTCTCAAAAAAAAAAAAAAAAAGTTGGCTACAGCCTACTGGTGGGGCAGGACAAGTCAACCCAGGATAGGGAGACCTCCAGAGAATGGCAGGAAAACCCCCAATGCCTGAGTATTTGGTGTGTTCCATGCATCACACTCCGCAGTGGGAACCCTCATGCCATGTCCAGGCTGTCTTCTTTTCCCTCCCAGGAAGAAACCACCTTTAGTCGCAAAGTGGAGACCCTGATTACTCTGGAAATGAGCCAGAGACAAAAATCCTCCCATCGTACTCCCCGGGCATGATTCCCACAAAACCAAACCACCCATGGAGAGGCAGAGCATATAGAATTTCTCATTAGGCTCATTTTCTGATTCTCGTGTTTACTCTAGTTTCTTGTAATGTAGGTGGCCTAAACTTACGTCTGCAAACTATAGAAATTCAGAGACTGTGAGAGCCAGAAGGAGACCAGTCATGAGATCATCAAATTTGACCTTTTCACGTTAGAAATGATAAAATGATGTTCCTTGTCCAAAGGAAGACCCAATATTTGTACTCTAAAAATAATGACTCTGTGGGGTATGGTGGTGCATGTCTGTCATCCCAGCTACTTAGGAGGCTGAAATGGAAGGATTGCTTGAACCCAGGATTTCAAGGCTACAGTGAGCTGTGATCGCCCCATTGCACTCCAGCCTGGGCAACAGAGCGAGACCTGTCTCAAATAATAATAATAATAATAATAAGGACTTTGAATTTAGGTCTCTATTGCTCAAAGATGACAATAGCAGTCCCCCGGAATACATGAGGCTAAAAACATCTGTACGTGAGCCAGGAGGACGTATCTGCCCTTCAAACTCGAGAGGACATATGTATTAATGTACAAGAAAAAAGAACTTAAATGTATTAATTTCCTCATGTCCCTACAGCTTTTTCTGGCTCCTATATCTAATAGAAAATGGGACAATCACTCTTTTAAAGGGAAAGTATTTCCTGCAATTTGAAAGTGTGCTTCAAAATAATGCTGCTAACACAGGGAACAGGGCAATAGGAAAGGATACTGTGGTTCCCAGCAGCAAGGTTAGCAAGGTTCTCATCCCAGACGGGATTACAATGTTTTAAATAAGTTCAGTATTTGTATATGTTTAAAACAACTTTTTAGTAGATGATTTACTGACAGATGATGACATCTCAAAACAAAGAAAAGCATAGTTTTGCAAAACTGAACCCAATTTTGAGTTGTTTGTTTGGCATTTATAGTGCTGAAAATATTTAATAGAATTATTTTGAATTCTTTTTTGAAAGTTGCTATTTCAATTGAGAATGCTGTAGGATTTTTAAAAATGCATTCCACAAAGAAAAATCTCAAAATAACTCATAGGTTTCGGTCAGAACACTAACCCAAGCAGAGCTGTTTTCAGCTTGATTTACTTACGCAAACTTTTTATCCAAGCTGATCAATAAACCAATGAAATACGCGGACTGTGCATCATTTCTGTTTACCTGAAACAAGGAAGTTTATGTATAATTTAATTTAGAATCACACAATCAGCAAGTTCTTGAACAAAACATACATATTAATGAGGCAGCCTAATCGAAACCTTTTCTAGAGAGGAATTTCTACAGAAATGTAGGACATTCTATATGACGTTCTTCCTAGAAATAAAAAAAAAAAAATGCACACAATTTAATACTTTGAATTTGTAAAGCAAGAGTCTTTTCTTTGATGCGTAATCCTATAATCCTGACTGGCTACTTTGTTTTAAAGAATGTCTTCAACAATGTAACTATTGTAGGCATTTAATATTATAGAGAATGATTTAAGGCATTTGCTTTACAAATTCAAGTTATTAAATTGTGTACAAATTTTTCTTTTTTATATAAAAAGAATCATATATTAGATTTATTTTATACATATCATGTTTATAATTTATCATATCATATGTTTATAATATATGTTTATAATTATAAATGTAATAAATGTAATTATATATGTAAAATAAATCTATATGTCAAATATATATACAAAATATATATATGAAAAATAGTCACCCTGTGGGAGATGGTGGTGCACACCTGTAGTCTCAGCTACTTGGAAGGCTGAGGTGAGAGAATTGATATGTATAATATAATACATATTATACATACATTACATATATTTTCTATATATATTTGACATATAGATTTATTTTTATATATTTATTTCATATTTATTATTTAAATATTTATTTTATACATATTTTATTGTATATATTACATATATATAATTGATATCTGCATATAAGCAAGGAGGATATATCTGTTCTTCAAAGTTGGGAGAATATGTGTATTCATGAGCAAGGAAAGGAACTCCAAAATGTATTAATTTCATTATAATGTGCTATTTCACTATATATAGATATATTTGATTTTCATATATATATTTGTGTAATATTAGAAAACATCTTGAGAATTTCAAAGCAAGCTATATCCACAAGATGATGGTAAGCCGGAGTATACTCTAGTACCTTTATAAATCAAATGCATTCTTATTATTTCAGTACTGTTCAACTTATTTTTTCCTGCTTCTCTCTGTTACCTCCTCTCTGGCAATGAGGCCATGAAGAATTTTAATCAGAAAGATACTGAACAAAGCACTCTTGGAAAAAATAAATTATAAAAATAAATTATACCTTCAGTGATAGGTATATCGATGGTATCACAATTTTGTTACAACCAAGAAAGATGATTATAACAAATAATCAAACTGTGTTATATGTTGGCCAACAATTTGGGCCAAGTAAGCCAGATTTTTAAATTAAAAATTAAGCTATATGATACACAAAGGGTCCAGGACTGACATATAACAACTAGTTAAGAATTATAATCTTTGCAAATCAAATTAGTGAACTCAAAGCCAACAAGTATGGATCTTCACAATATCCAAGCCAAAAAATGGTTCTGGGACTGGGCACAGTGGTTCACGCCTGCAATCCCAGCAATTTGGGAGGCCAGGGCAGGCAGATCACTTAGGGTCAGGAGTTCAAGATCAGTTTGGCCAACATGGTGAAACCCTGTCTCTACTAAAAACACAAAAATTAGCCAGGCATGGTGGTATGCACCTGTAGTCCCAGCTGCTTGGAAGGCTGAAGCAGGAGAACTGCTTGAACCCAGTAGGCAGAGGTTGCAGTGAGCCAAGATCACGCCACTGTACTCCAGCCAGGGCAACAGAGCGAGATACTGTCTCAAAAACAAACGAACAAAAAAATTATTCTGAGTTCTGCAATTCTGCCCTAAATATTTAAACAATAGGGCATAACTTGTGTTATGACCTCCTCCTCCTCCTGCATTTCCATCTTTACCTTGACCTTTGGAGGTGCAAATTCAGCACATAATTAGAAATTGTGCTAGGGGGTACCAATGGTAGACATTATGTTTATCATATGTCACTGTTCCATCCTTAAATCAATGATGCTCTATGAAAAAATGCTCAACATCACAAATTATCAGGGAAATGTAAATCAAAAATCACAATGTGACACCACTTTACTCCTGCAAGAATGGCTATAATTAAAAAATAAAAATATAATAGATGTTGGCATGGATGTGGTGAAAAGGAAACATTTTTACCTTGCTGGTGGGAATGTAAACTAGTACAGCAACTCTACAAAACAGTATGGAGATTCCTCAAAGAACTAAAAGTAGAAACACAATTTGATCCAGCGATCCCACTACTGGGTATCTACCCAGAGGAAAATAAGTCATTATATGAAAAAGACATTTGCACACACGTTTTTAATATTGGCACAATTTGCAATTGCAGAAATATGGAACCAGCCTAAATGCCCATCAGCCAATGTGGTATATACATACTATGGAATACTACTCAGGAATGAAATAATGACATTTGCAGCAACCTGGATGGAATTGGAGACCATTTTTCTAAGTGAAGTAACTCAGGAATGGAAAACCAAACATCGTATATTCTCACTTATAAGTAGAAGCTAAGCTATGAGGATGCAAAGGCATAAGAATGACACAATGGACTTTGGGGACTCGGGGACAGGTAAGAGGGGGATGAGGGATAAAAGACTACACATTCAGTACAGTGTACACTGCTCAGGTGACAGGTGTACCAAAATCTCAGAAGTCACCACTAAAGAACTTTTCCATACAACGAAACACCACCTGTTCCCCCCAAAACTGTTAACATTAAAAAATGTATTGATGCTCTTACATATTTCCATAGAAATTTCTTTTCACTTTCACTTTGAATAGAAACAAGATCACCAAAATTCCTCTTGCAAAACGCTCGTGCATTGTCCATGGTTTCCTTCTCTTTGCTGAAATAATACTGGTATTCTTTGTAAATAACCCACCCATCTTCAGTGACTGGTGGATCTGAAAAGTTAACGAGAAAAGGCCATGAGTTTTACACAGACAAATTCAAGAATCTGGTGTGTGTAGCACGCAAAGGTGAAAGGGACAGAGCTGCTATATCAAGAGGCATCTGCAACTCTGAGAGACCACAACAGCAGAATGTCCATGTCAAATACAGACATTTGAATCCTCAGCCAAAATATCCACTTTCTACCAACCCAGTAAAAAGGACCCATTTTGTATTCCCAGCCAAGTCCCATATGTCATTACCAGGTAAAAGAACTCTGGGTGTCACTCTCATCAATACGATAGCATAGCTGCGAGGATTTATATACAATGCACCCATAATGTTCTAGATCAAAGGAGTGGGAACTATGAGAAAGCAGCTTTCACCCCAGTGTAAGAAGGAAAAAAGAAAAAGCAAAACTTCTAATAGATGGACTTGGGTGCCTCAGGGTAGAAGCAAGGAATTCTCTTATCAAGTGGGCCCCTCAGGCTTTTTCCAACACATGGGGTTCCACAGTTCTGTGCTACAGTAGGTTGAATAAAAGCCCCCAAAGATATCTAGTTCCTAACCCCTGGAACCTATGAATGTTAGCTTATATGGAAAATAGGACTTTATAGTCATGATTAAGTTAGGATCTTGAGAGATGGGAGGGTTATCCTGGATCGTCTAGGTGGGTCCTAAATGTAATAACAAGTATCCTTATGCAGAGAGGCGGAGGGACATTTGACTAAAAGAGAAAGAGGCAATGTGATCACTGGAAGAAGATGCTACATTGCTGGTTTTGAAGGAGGAAGGGGCCACGAGCTGATGAATTCACAGAATGCAGCTCTAGATGCTGGTTTATAAAGGCAAGGAAAGAGATTCTCCCTTAGAGCCCCTAACGGGAGCATGGTCCTGCCAACATCTGGATTTTGGCCCAGTGAAATTGATTCCAGATTTCTGACTTCCAGAACTGTAAGGGAGTAACTGCGTGTTATTTTAAGCCACCAAGTTCCTGGTAACTGGTTACAGCAGCCAGTGGACACTAATATATGTGCTAAAGAAGAAGAACCCGGGACCTTAGAATTGATTCATGAACCCTTGAGAAACTGTATTAACATGCCTTATGTTTGCGCATATGAGCTTCTGTCTGGAGAGGAAGACCCAAACTTCCATGACATTCTCACTCATAGGTATTAAGGACTTCTGCCCTCTACCTTCCTAGGGCAAGTAATTTTTCATTGAGAAAAAAAAAAAAAAAAAGAGGCAGGGAAAGGGTTATCAGTACAGAGATCAAAAATAAGAAAACACCTACTGTCTTGAGGAGCTGGCGTTGGCTCAGGTTTTGGTGTTTGTCCTGTAAAACAAGAGCAAAGTAGAAATAAAGCGTACTTAAACTTCTGCTAATTACATTTCCTTCTATATTCACTATTTTCATGAGTCAATATTGCTAAAAACTTAGTTGTTCTCTTTTTTCCCTTCCCTTTCTTTCTCCAATTTGTACATCATGTTGTGGAGAGCAGAATGAAGGAAAAGAGAATTAGAAGTGAAGACTTAAACAAATCAGGTGCAATCAGAGCCACCAGAAATTACAGCCACCACAGTTTTCAGGCACAAGCAGCGTCACATAAAGGAAAGGAAAAAAAAAAGAACATGAGTTTTAGAATCAGAAAGCCTAGCTTTAAATCCCAAGCCTGGGTTTAAATCATTTAGCCTTAATTTTGTCAACTAAATCAAATAGATTAGTTTGTGAAAACACGTGAGTTATTGGTATGTAATAGGTGTTTAACAGATGTTTGTTTTTCAGTCAGACATCTTATAATCTGTGAAATTATTTATGATTTCATTAGTTGAAATGATTAAATGTGAACTATTTGTTTATAAAATATTTATAAAATAGAAAATGTATTTTCTTTAAGAAAATCTGTTTTTCTTAAATTATGATTTACTAAAAGTTAAATGAAATATTTTTCTTTCCAATTACTTAATGACATATCTGGATGTTGTTGAAAGCTGATAAAGGGACTCAGGTTACCTAGCTTTTGGGTTACTGAATTTAACATCTGCAAGAGCAGAGCTACAATAATGCAAAAAGGATACTAGCCGTTGGTAGCTAAGAGACCATTAAAGGACAATGGACCACCACTGACTACTTCTATTCTGGAAACTTTGAAAGCAATAATAAGCAGGAGGATGGAAAATAAACAAAGCAGTAAGGCATCTCCAGCTACAGAGCTGAAATGGTTGCCAAGATTCCCCAACAGCAGAGGGCAATGTGGTTCCATTTATCCATTTACAACGGAGGTATTGAGGTATATTTTGGTTTGAGGGTAGGTTTGTTTATTTGATGGTTGGTGTGTTGGTTTCTCTTAACATTAGAACTCGGATCCTCTGGCCTGACTTGGATATGTAGAACTTTCTAAGTCACAGATAATGACTGTCAGCATGCATATTGTTTGACCATCAATAACATGGTGGGGCTCATAGCATCAGAGGCCACTCCAAGGTGATTGTTCACTGTGTTGAACGTTTATCTGAGAAATCAATACTTAGAATATTCAGACTTGGGGAAATGTTCCCCTATTTGATGATTAACGTAGGTCGGAAGGTGAAAATTCCAAAACGGCAGTTGCATTTGCATTATTCTGCTTACAGCGTAGGACACCCACAAAATTCTACTGCTATGGAACCTGGGCCAGGATCAGAGCTGCTCTTGGGAACTATTTGGGAGGATGTGACTCTTGCCCAGAACTCCTGGGTGGCCTTTTGATCTTCTCTGTTCCTTTGGCACATTTATCTGTGCTTACCAACTTCATGCTTATCCTATGCAATCATGGCCACTGACAGTTCCCTGATTCTGTTATTTTGTTTGTTTGCTTCTGCTAATAAAGGAAAGATACTGGGGTGTCAGGAGGTTAGTCTACCAAGCTGAGATAAAGGAGAGAAGAGCTGATCATACCTTTGTGTATCTGGCAAATCCAGTTGTTAAGGTGTTCACAATTAATATCATTCCAAGACATACTAGGGTCTCCTTTCAGCTCACCACAGTATTCAACATTTTGATAATTATTAGGTTCTCCATAAGCCCAGTTTTCATATGAAACCTATATTAGAAACATCAAACTACAACCATTAACCATTTGTATCAAGCCAATGCCAATCATTCATTCAAATAGAAAACGAAAGATATATTTGCATTGTTTTATCAATTTACTTTTTTTTCACAATAGCTTTGCTTTGAAAGCACAGTTCACAAACATGAGTAGAAAAGAAACAGCTTTCATCACATGGAAACTTGCGATGTTGAATAGCGTACACAATTGATTATTATAACATTTTCTTTACTCTTATTAAATAGAATGGATCCAAGGGCCACAAATGGGGGTTTATATATAGGAAAAACTTGGCAACAAAGTTCCACTTCTCAGTGTTGGGAGTTCCTAAATTTTACAACCCATTGGAAAGGATAATATTTCAGTGTGTTACTTGGAATTTTTCTCTTTATTAAATGTGTAGGATAAAGAAATAAAACTAATTCTCCTTGCAAAAGAAAAAGACCCAGAAAATATTGCTAACAGAGCTACTAAACTTTGCCAAAATGAACAGCAGAAACAAATGGAGGCCCTGGGTCTAGGACCTCTATGGAGTTTTCAGTGTGGAGTCATAACCCACAGGTTTTTGGACCAAGCACGGTGATGTGTTTTCCAGAGATGTAAATATAAAACCCAAATGTCAATGAAGCCATCAAATAAACCACCTCATTAAAGTTCCTTGAAAAGTTGCTGGTGGAGGCAGAACTGAAATTAAGAGGTAGAACTGAAATTATACAAAATCACTTCTTGTGATGACTAGGGCTTCTAAATATTGCCAGCACGTGCCAGAAGCTCTCACTTCTTCATTCCTGGAAATGGAGAAGTCCGACGAAGCCTAATCATTATTAGTGGGAATATCAAAAGTGTCTCCATTTCTATTGTTCTATAAGAGGGTATAAAACATTCAAGTTTTAAGAAGTTTACCTGCACATCAACTTTGCATGGCAGGATAGTGGCTATCATAATGACCTGTCTTACTAAAAGTTTGGATTAAATAAAAAGATAACATCAAAATAAATACACGATAAAGTAAGAAAGTTATATAGTAAGTGAAATTACTCACAGGAGAACCATCACTCCAAGTAAAGCCTTCTGAAGGGCTTCCATATGTCAATCCCAACCAAAACAGTTCGTGGTAGCTTCCACTAGCTCTATGAAATCCAAAACATAAAGAAAGCATATGCTATTGCATGAAGCAAGTTCAGTAACTTATGAGGACTAACCACATTTGAAAGTTACCTCCAAAACATAAATTAATAGTACACAAGTAAAGAGATTTAACAGCTAAATAGAAGACTTATGCAATAGATGTGCATTTTGGTATATCCCATAAATATCTTAAAAACAGGCCACTGCCTGAGAGTAAATAATTGTATAGTATTGAAAGACAAGTATGTATTAAGCATCTTGAACTTTCATAGAGCAAGTCATAGCAGAATTTACAGTTATAAAATTAAAGGATTTGAAAGTAAAACTAGATCAACCAGGGCCCACAGATTTGGGAGATGATACAGGTGCTCAAACTAGCATCCTGAGACAATAGTTTCAGAAACAGACAAATTTTCTCAACTTCATCAGCACCAACTAGATAACAAAAAGGAGTAATCCATAAAAATACCACTTACGTTATTAATCGCCATATCGTTTGCTGTTCCTCTTTGTTATTGATGCTAGCTAAGTCTCCACCCAGAGCTCGACAAAAATCTCGAGATTCAAACCACGTTTTCTTCTCGTGTTTTCCTTTTGCATACAGCTGACGATGATATGGTTACAAAAATTATTTTATACTTTGTAGTTTATCAAATTAAGAGAAACAGTTATTTACTTTTGATGAGAGTTCATTTACAGAAAAACAAAACATTGTAATGACCCAAAACAATGTAATTCTTTTGCTTTAAAATCAATTTATGAGTGAACAGTTGGGTAAACAAAACTTGGGGGATTATTTTGTTGAGAAAACCTTAGAAAATAAAATTATTTTATAGCATAAGAGAAATTAGATGAAAATCTTAGGTGCTTTAGGCATATGGGTTACGTATATAGCTCTTTGTAGAAGACAAGATTAATTTGGTTAAGTGTAAAAAGTGGCATTGAGATGGAAAAAAATGAAAGAACCTTTTGATACAAAGAAAGTAAACATGAATAAGAAGAATTTTAAGGAAAATAACTTTCTTAAAACTGTGCACAGTTTGTTATTGTGTTCAGCTTAAACAATGAATAACCTGGCAATGTTTCAACATTTGGTTGGTGATGTCTTTCAATACCGCCTTGTATTTTTCATTGTGGTTGTACATTTCAAGAGCTATTGAAGCACATGCAACCACAGACACCCATCTGGCAGGGAGTTATGAGCTAAATTAAATTTAAAAGATTATATGATTTAGGAATTGGGTCATAACATTCAGAGGACTGCAGAGAGACTAGTGAAATGCAGTCAACAGTGACAGTCTGGGACACACCCCCTAGTAGGCAAACAGAAAGGAGATATTTGTGGCCACTGACTTTTCTAATTCTCATGCATTGGTCCTCATGAGTTATGGCTCCCACATCGCAGGCTTATGGGAAAAAAAATTTGTTTCCAAGGCACTATGGTTGCCCAAGTTGTCATTAAGCAGCCGAAGACAACCTTCACCTTGACCCTAACTTGACTCAAGCTATCTGGACAAAGGTGTTTAAGTAAGTAGCCACATCAGTATATCCCAGAGTCCTACGATGCCTCAACTTGTTAGACTATGATATAATATTTTATTTTTTAACTAAATTTACTATCAGCTAATTTCATTAATAATTCTCACACCTTAATATTTATAAAGGTGGTCTATATATTTCCAAACAAACCCTACCCCAAGTACCTCTAAAACCACCTAATTTCTAGTCAAGCACATATTTTGATTTGTTGAACATCCACCTGAAAATTCTCTCTACTGAAGCCCCTGGTTCACGTCTCAGCTCTGGGTAAAACTGCTGATTCTCTCGAAAAACTGCAATAAATCTCCACAGCCTAACATCCTCAGGCGAAGGCTAGGAATAAGACGAATCCGGCCTTTGTGTAGTAACCCAAAAGTTTCCAGAGGTAACAATAAAATATTTGATTCTCTTTGTGTTAGTCCTCAAATAATCCATTTACAAATCTCTTCAGTCTTAGCCCAATACATCGCCTTCTATGTAAATTACGTTATTAAATCTGATGGCCAATCTGGACTGAAGACTTCCTGGATTCCTATTTCTATTAGTGGGAGTGACCAGCTCAATTAACCATACTCCTCTTGAGTTAGAAAAGACTACATAGCCTCAACCTGATGCAAATTCTTCATCAGCCTTGCCAAACTGTCTTACAGGGCACGTCATGGCCATATGCCATTCAAAAGGATTGAATAAAAGAAGTACAGAGAGCAGGACTATTAGAAAACAGTATCATTAAGCAGTAGGTGGGTAATATGGTTTGACTCTGTGTCCCCACCCAAATCTCATCTCAAACTGTAATCCCCACATGTCGAAGGAGGGACCTGTAATCCCCACATTGAGGGAGGGAAGTGGAGTATGAAGGCAGTTTCCCCCATGCTGTTCTTGTGAATGACTTCTCAGAAGATCTGATGGTTTTATAAGTGGTAGCTTCTCCTACACTCTCAAATGCTCTTCTCTGTCCTGCCACCCTGTGAATAAGGTGCCTGCTTCCCCTTCCACCATGATGCTAAGTTTCCTGAGGCCTCTCCAGCCATGTGGAACTGGGAGTCAATTCAACCTCTTTCCTTTTTAAATTACCCAGTCTCAGGCAGTATCTTTACAGCAGTGTGAGAACAGACTAATACAGTAGGTACATTTCTGTATTTGACTAAGTCTAATTTTCTCTAGAAAGGATGTGACTTATAAAAGAGAGAGAGTAAAAGACCCAAATCCTTAATTCATTGGGGTTTTTGTTTGCTATTTTCTGGGTTTCTTTTTTTGTCTGGTTGTTGGCTTTAGTGAATTTGATTGCATAAAGAGGAAACGAATGGCCTAAACTACGAATGTATTAAATAGTGGTAGAATATTGAATTGTCATTTAATGGGCATTGAAAAGCCATGTGCCCCAACCTATCATTTCCTTTCCTCACCCATCATTATACTCATCAGGGTTAAATCAGAAAAAGGGAGTACTCGCTTTAGAATACCTCTGTGGCATTATTGTAGAACACTTTATCAATTTTGTTAGCTAATACTTGGGCTCTAAGAGCATGGAAAAAAAATGAATTGCAATACAACAGTGTGACAGGAAACAGAAATTTCTATCAAGATAAAAAGAGGCTGGGTGCAGTGGCTCATGCCTGTAATTCCAGAGCTTTTGGAGGTCTGTGTGGGAGGATCAACTGATGCCAGGAGTTTGAGACTAGCCTAGGCAACATAGTGAGACTCATCTTTACTTAAAATAAGATTTTAAAAATTAGCTAGGCATGGTGGTGCATACTTGTAGCTACTTGGGAGGCTTAGGTGGGAGGAGCACTTGAACCCAGAAGTTTGAGGCTGCAGTGAGCCATGATTATACCACTGTATTCCAGCCTAGATGACAGAGCAAGACCCCATTGGAGAAAGAAAGAGAAGGAGAGAGAGAGAGAGAGAGAGAGAGAGAGAAGGAGAAGGAGAAGGAGAAGGAGGAGGAGGAGGAGGAGCGGGATGGGGAGGGGGAGGAGGGAAAGAAGGGAGGAAGGAGAAAAGAAGGAAAGGAGGAAGGAAGGAACAGAGGAAGGGAGGGTAGAGGGGAGAGGAGGGAGGTAGATCTAGAAGTCCTGGGAGAAAGGAGAGAAGCAGAGAGAAGGTGAGAGTGGCAGAGCAGGTGAGAAACAACTTCTGTGCGCTGTGTTTATGTTGTTGGTTGCATTTGTGGGTCTAAATGCATCCACCCGAAGAGCTCTTCTAAAACACCTGATCCCCAAGTTAATCAAATCAGACTTTCTAAATACCTATGGGTGGAGTCTGGGCACAGTGTTTTGGTTTCTGTTTGTTGTTTGTTGTTTGTTCGTTTGTTATTTATGTCCTTAGGTGATTCTTTAGGCTGAAGCATACTCCAGATTCTCTTATCAGCTTTATCATTGATACTCACCTTGAAACACAAACTCGTTCTACTGCTGGCGCCCCAATCCTCTGGACATTTGGGTTCAGGAGTCGTCGTGGGCTTCGGCGGGTGGGTTACTCCTTCTGCCCAGTGCTTGCACACAAATTTTGCCTTTTCATCACATTTCAAAACATCCCATAAGCCCCCTGCAATCCCGGTTCTCATGGCAACACACCCTGGCTTTCGGCCTGTATTAAATATATAAAGTAGAATTCACTTGACGAGTGCCTGCTGAAGGCCTGCCGTGCTCGCAGAAGGCACTCAGAACCCAGTGTCAGGGATGTGGTGAAACCTGCACGTGACGAGGAGATGCAGCCGGCCGCGCCAGGGGCATTCAGCAACTGGTCTGTGCTGTTTTGAATCAGTTTGATTTTTATTTGTGTGGTCCTACAACCCCAACCCAAAATGATCTCAAATGTTGGAGGGTTTTTAACACTACATTTCTAACATTTGGCAAAGTGCCCCACACACAGGCATTTAATGATAAGATATTTTATATTATCAAATTCACCATAATGGCAAAAATAGTAGTTTACTCTTTCTCTCGCTCCCTCCTGCCTTCCTTCCTCCCTTCCTTCTTCCCTTCTTTCCTCCTTTCGTTCCTTCCTCTCTCCTTTTGTTCCTTCCTCCCTCCTTCCCTCCCTTCCTCGCCTCCTTCCCTCCCTTCATCCCCTCCTTCCTTCCTTCTTTCCTTCCTTCCTCCCTTCCTTCTTCCCTTCTTTCCTCCTTTCATTCCTTCCTCCCTCCTTTCTTCCCTTCCTCCCCTCTTTCCTTCTCTCTTTCCTTCCTTCTTCCCTTCCTCCCCTTTTTGGTTTTCTCCCTTCTTTCTTTCTTTTTTAATTCTTTAAGTTTCTTTTCCTCCCACTAAGGTCCACATAGGTTTTCCAAGACCAAAGTTTTTCACAGATTTCAAAATGAGACACGCCTCAACTAGAGATTTTAGCTAAGTTACTCAAACACTCTGAACTTGCTTTCTCCTCTTCAAATGCAAATGCCAAGACCTGCCTCACAGAGCTTCAGGAATGCCAGCTTTAACAAAGAAGTCCATAAAACAAAATGAGGATGCACCGAGCTGAACAGTTTATAATTCTGTCTTACAGTCAAGGTTATTTCCAAATAGCAATTGACTAAGACAGAGCTTTGAAAGCATCAGGATTCCTCGCTGCTAGGATGAAGTCATTTTTTTTATTATTAGACTTTGAAAGAACACGAAGTGCTGAGAAGTCATTCATGAAGTTCCGGGAAGGTACACCTTTTTTAGAATATTTTCTCTGAAATCGCTGATTCCCTGACACCTCAAGGGTTTTCCCTGATTCCGAAGATTGTCTCTTTCTCTTTGCAGCACCCAGTTAAAACCTGGTAACTGTGGAATAGATGACTACAGAGGCTATGGCATCCGGTTAACCGTCAGAATCAGTTCAGTTGACCTGATGCTCAGGCCCAAGCCCCAGGCTCCTTGCCCACTCCTCCTGAAGCTGTAAACTCAGCCAAAGAGGCCAGCCACCGTCCTTCCATCAAAGATATACCATGACAATGGTTGCAACTGAGTTCTGTTCCAGTTCCAACCACTGTGATTCCCTAAGGACATTCCAGGGCTCACTCTTCAGAATCCTGCTGCCGGATGACACCACAGGCAAACTTAAGCAGTTTCACTTACAGAGTAAGACTTATCACTACTGCCAAGATGTGTTTTTAAAGTATGTACTCAGCTCTTAATACACCATCCAGTTACTTCTTAAATCAACTGAAATCTTGCCGTAGTTCAGAAAGTTCAATAATTCCATAAACAAGAATCACACTATTTAGGTTACTGATCTGTTTCCCTTATTGAAAACTAAGAATGCAAATTATAGAACACTGAAGATTAGGATGTATTAGGTCAGGTAGCAAATTGATAGACTTGTGCTATTATTTTTTAGCTTTTCACCCAAGCACAATGAAATATTTGCTATAAGGGATGTTGAAATTTCTCTATGTGTGGTCATACTAAACAATGTTGTGTGCTAGTGATACCACTGTATAAAAAGTCAAAGAATCTTTCAGAGACTATTTCAGAAACAACTTACAACATCTTACTAGAGAAGGTAAATCAAAATATAGAGAGAGGCAGGCAGGGTGGTGCAAGTGTAAGTAGCACATTTTTGGGGATGCCACAGATTAGTGTAAATCCATGCTTGGAAACTTTCTAGTCACATAAACTTCCTGAGTCTCAGTTTCCACCTTTTTTTTTTTTGTTTTTTTTTTAATGGAGTTTTGCTCTTGTCGCCCAGGCTGGAGTACAACGGCACAATCTCAGCTCACTGCAACCTCCGCCTCCCAGATTCAAGCGATTCTCCTGCCTCAGCCTCCCAAGTAGCTGGGATTACAGGCATATACCACTGCACTCGGCTAATTTTTGTATTTTTAGTAGAGATGGGGTTTCACTATGTTGGCCAGGCTAGTCTCGAACTCCCGACCTCAGGTGATCTTCCCGCCTCCTCCTCCCAAAGTGTTGGGATTACAGCCGCCGCGCCTGACCTCCACTTCTTTTAAATGAAGATACTGAAGCCACGTAACTGGCAGGGTTTTTATGAGGATAAAATAAAATCCAAAGCAAATAAAAGACTAAACATGGTAGCACATGGAAGATACGGAAATAATGAGTTCTGCATGAGCAATGTCCTTTGCTGCACCAGCCAAGCACTCTAATATTTCAACTCCTAATTGCACTGAAAAGTTTTATGTCCATTTAATATAGTTTTAGGTTTTCAGAAATAAGTCAACCAGGACAGGCAAAGTGGCTCACTCCTGTAACCCCAGCACTTTGGGAGGCCGAAGCAAGTAGATCACTTGAGGCCAGGAGTTTGAGACCAGCCTGGCCAACATGGTGAAACCCCATTTCTACTAAAAACACAAAAATTAACCAGGCATGGTGGTACACGCCTGTGGTCCCAGCTACTCGGGAGGCTGAGGCACGAGAATTGCTTGAACCTGGAAGGTTGAGGTTGCACTTAGCCAAGATGGTGCCACTGCACTCCAGCCTGAGCGACTGAGTGAGGCTCTGTCTCAAAATAAATAAATAAATAAATAAAAATAAAAAGAAAGAAAGAAGTCAACCATTTGAAACATTTGTGACCACTGAGAATTTCACGAATGGGTTTTAAGTAGACCAGTACCACATAACCTAGCAAGATACCTAGCAAACTTTTCTTCCTTTTTTCTTTAGAACACTAAACTTATTAGGAAATTTTGGGGGGGAAAAAAAGGAAGAAAAGAAAAAAACAAAAAGAGAATGAAATATAAACTGTTACTAAAAGCATGATTAATTTACCTAGTCTATTTGGAGAGGTACCCGGAGGAATAACAGACTTTATCCAACAGATTCGTAGGGTGAACGCAACCCTCAACCTAAGTGCTGCCCATACCTGGCATATCCGAATTCCAGTGGGTGAACCGAACCTCTTCCTCGATGGTCCACTGAAAAGTCCCTTTGGTTTGTATATCTGAAAGTCCTGTCCAGAAATATTTTTCAGGCCTTAAGCCAACGAAACTAGTCAGGAATGCTTGTTCATATCTTTAAAAAGAAGAATTAACATTCAATTAAGTTTTCAAAAGATTTATGCCAATTTTCAAAATTATCAATATGAAAACTATCTCAGTTCCATGTTTCAGCTATAATTGAATTGGTAATTCAAATATATTGTGTTATATCTGTATGTCATCTACATTATACACATTTTCACTAAGGAAATGTGAACTTATGATGGAAAAATACCATATAGCTGAGTGTATAAAATCATTCAGATATACTCAAACCAACTCCCTCTAGCCCTCGTCAGCCCCTCTGCCTCTTCTAAAAATACCAGAGAATTTTGAGAATACAAAGAAGAAAACTACTGCATTTTAAAATACAGTGTTTTAAAAAATCAGTCCACTCTTCAAATAGTTCTACTGAATTATTGATTAAGCAAGTTCAAGGTTAGTAACGTTATCAAGGATAATATCCATGGAATAATCTGCATTAATTTCCCCCCTCAATTTTATTCTCTCATATCTCAGCTCCGAAACAAAAGAGAAAATTATCAAGACATATAGAGAAGCAGAGACTGAATCTCCAGAAAGAATGAGAAGCAGAATAATGAATTCCAACACTGTCTCTCCCTTTGGAATCTTGTCTGTGCATTTGGCATTAATCTGGGAACAATAAAATTCGGTTGACAAGGCACCAAAAATGTGTCTGAAATGACAAACAAAACAATGGAGGCAGCAACATAGCCAAAAATCTGTCTTTCGAGAAAAAGAAAAATGGTGTCTGCAATTTCCAGGAACGAAGAGAGTTGTAGATGACTTCAGGGAGAGCAGGAAGAGAATACAGAGAAACCTAACAGCAATACAACATTTTATTTGACCATAGTCTAAATAATTTTATTCCCTAAACAAAACAAACCAAAAAAATTAAAAGTTCCGAACTCGATTTAGTTTCCTTAAATGTCTCTAAACCATATTAGTGAACTCCTGAGGATAAATATTACAGAAGATACACAAGGAAAAATAAATGTAAAATATAGTGAAATCATGTATATAATACTCCAATAGACCAAAAGATCAATTATAGTGCAGACCAGAGTATGATCTCATGGTGCCTAAAGGTGAGCAGTTCACCTCACTCACAGAAGATAAAAAGTACCTATGTTCTGAGTTTCAGATGTCAGCATCGTATTAGGGTGCTACTACCATATATTAGACATTTCATTATACATGAAAGCAGCATGTGGATAGAAATACAGTTCTTTTATAAAGACTATGAAAGGTTATGACATCTCTCATTTTTATCCAAAGATTTTTAATATCAACAGTATCCCCTACATGTTATTCAGTCTGCCTCGAAACTCCAGTAAATATAACTTATTGTACTAAAACTCCATAATTTTGTTACTTCTTTACTGCAAGTGAAATAGATACTTCTCCATTTTTGGAAACTTTCTTCTGTGGCTAATCTAGAGCTTCACGTAGAGTAGGTAAAGAGTAAATCAATAAATCTTAAAAATAGGTGGGACTGTAGAGGTAAAAAATTACATAAACTTTTCTATGTCCATGTGATTTTCCTGACCGATGAGTCTGTTAACCTAGCAAAGTAAAGAATGGAAGAATGGAAAGAATGAATGAATTATTCAGTAAACTTCTTTGCCTTCTTTTTTGGTGGACAGAGTGGTAAAGATATAACGTGATTTTGAGCTGGTAACTTTTAGTTACTTTCCTGTTTTAAAAAATTCAACACATAATGGATCATTAAAAAGTTAGCTCTATAAACTACATTTACTAGATTATTATTTGTAAACTGTTCTGAATGTTGCTTTATATTACTAAATTTAGCAAAAACGGTTTATAATGTTTGCAATGAGGAATCCAAATAAGAATATTATTTTTAATGTTTCTACCTTTACAAATCATACCTCAAGATCACATATAGTATACTCAGAAATTTAGAGTACGTTCATACTTGGGCTTTTCTGAAACTTTTTTCTATTTGACATATTTTTAAATGAAATTCAAATAGTTACATACCTGTCTTCAATAGTTGTTAAATAAGCATTCTCATTATTACAGGTTTGGTTTGCTTCTGCAAATGTTGAAAGCGTATGTCCAATCATATAGCAGTAAAAGTGATGTTTTTTCCAGCCCTATTAATGTTATCAAGCAATGAATAAATGAGCAGAGTTCATGCATATATTATAAAATATTATTATTATTATTATTATTTGAGATGGAGTTTTGCTCTTGTTGCCCAGGCTGGAATGCAATGGTGCAATCTTGGCTCATTGCAACCTCCGCCTCTCGGATTCAAGCAATTCTCCTGCCTCAGCCTCCGGAGTAGCTGGGATTACAGGCACATGCCACCACACCCGGCCACTGTGCCCAGCCTTAGAAAACATTATTTTAATACTTTTTCTATCATGAAACTATTGGATAAACAATAGGAATGTCTAAAGAACACAACTCTGAAGAATCTGAAATGCAATGAAAATTATATACATAAACGAATAAAAGAAACAGTAGTACATCATTCCTCTTATGACAAATTATGCACATAATTGGGGGCAGTCATTCTCTCCGCTTCTAATGTATCCTGCAACAAAAACTATTTGTGAAATGTTCACTGAGGAAACTGAACAGAATGTCTAAGATACCAGTTTTAGAATAGGTAACCACAGGAAAGAATTTGGGGAAGCGCAAGCCTAGCTTCCTATGGAAGACAATACTAGAAGATGGGTATAAAGCTACATTATTTGGTCATAGGAGACCACTTTTCAAACTTCAGGCAGCATGATTCAGCATTGTTCCTCCTCCCATACTCCAAGTACAGAGAAATGGCCAGGCATAGTAGCTCATGCCTGTAATCCCAGCACTTTGGTAGTCCAAGGTGGCAGGATGACTTGAGCCCAGGAGTTCAAGACCAGCCTGGGCAACATAGTGAGTCTCTATCTTTACAGAAAATTTTATAAAATTAGCTAGGCATGATGGCATGTGCCTGTAGTCCCAGCTACTCGAGAGGCTGAGGCAGAAGGATAGACTGAGCCAAGGAGGTCGAGGCTACAGTGAGCCACAATCAATCACATCACTGCACTCCAGCCTGGGTGACAAAGTGAGACTCTGTCTCAGAAAAAAAGAAAGAAAGAAATGCTAAATAAAAACATAACAGTAAATGAAAAATCCATACTAGAGTTTGAGAGGAAGAAGGGGGAAATCTCCAGATACCCAAATTTAGTTGAATACTAAAAGCTGAATAGAAAATGCACAAACTAAATTGTTGTTGGCCAAGGACAGATGAGATCCTAGATTAAGGTCCTAGGGGCTGTGGTGTTAGTGTCCACACAGAATATGATATTTGGCCTTTGTCTCATTTGAAGCAGGGAGTTGGAACTGAGATCCTTGTATAAAAATGATACCACTAACCCCCATAACCCCTTGGTTAAAGGAGAACTAGAACATTCTGCCCACAGAACCAGGAAATGACAGTGTCTTGTCATCTACCTAGGGTTCTGAGTACCGGAAAAAAACAATTCCTGAGTCTGAAAATAAATACCAAGTTTGTGCCGCAGATGAGTGACAGTTCCAAGTTTATGCTATCCACATTGCATGGGAATCCACAGCCAAAAAATTAAAGTCATACTTAATCTGTAAAGGGGAATCTCTAAAGCACTCCAAGAAGTAGAATGCAAAACCACGCATCAGAAATATGCCCACCAACCAGGTCAAGAGAGACTGTGACGTCTGGCGAGATGGGTGGGGATGGAGAGGTCACTAAATCACAACCAAAACAACAAACTGGCCAGGAGCAGTGGCTCACACCTGTAATCCCAGCACTTTGGAAGGACAAGGTGGGTGGATCACTTGAGGTCAGGAGTTCAAGACCACCCTGGCCAACATGGTGAAACCCCGTTTCTACTGAAAATGCAAAAATTAGCGGGGGTGATGGCACGTGCCTGTAGTCCCAACTACTTGGGAGGCCGAGGCAGCAGAATTGCGTGAATCCATGTGGTGGAGGTTGTGGTGAGCTGAGATCATGTCACTGCATTCCAGCCTGGACAACAAAGCAAGACTCTGTCTCAAAACAACAGCAACAACAAACCATATGAGAAAATGTCCCATTTTAAGGAAGAGTCAACAACTGAACATAATAAAACAGAAAGTTCTTATTAAAAATCCCCAGCATGTTTGAGATGACTTTGTAACAAAAGAATAAATCCAATAACAAAAGATCAAAATGGTATGCACAAAGAACAGGAGGACGTGAACCGAAATATGGAATGTCTATAGAAGAAAAACAGCAATGAAGTTAAAAAATCAATGGTCAGATTAAACATAGTAATCAGGGTTTCATAGGAAATTAGTAAATTGGATGAAAAGATAAAAAGATAGCAAGATAGAAAAGATAGCATAGGAAGAGACAGAGATATAAAAAGAGGTTAAAAAAAAAGTTGATAGAAAGCATAGACAATAGGATGAGAATGTTGAACAACCACCTATGACAAGTTTCAGAAGTTTCAGAAGCAGTGAATAAAACTAATGACGGGTCACTTTCAAGAACTGAAAGATGGCAGTGAAACCTCAAAGAATCACGCTGGGCCTGGCACAATGGCTCACACCTGTAATCCCAGCACTTTGGGAGGCCAAGGCGGACAGATCATGTAGTCAGGAGTTCAAGATCAGCCTGGCCAATATGGTGAAACCCCATCTCTACCAAAAATACAAAAATTAGCTGGGCATGATGGCACATGCTGATAGTCCCACCTACTCAGGAGGCTAAAGTGGAAGAATTGCTTGAACCTGGGAGGCAGAGGTTGCAGTGAGCCGAGATCGCGCCACTGCACTCCACCCTGGGTGACAGAGTGAGACTCCATTTCAAAAAGAAAGAATCACACTGAGTAGCAAAGGCAACAAACAAAATAATTCCAAATCTAGGCACATGTAGTAGAATGCTACACTGCAGCATTCCACTAGGTACTTGGCATTCACCCAGGCACTGCAGAACACCAAAGACAAGGAGAAGATTTTAAAACCAATCAGAGAGAACCACTAGCATATCCACTTCAAAACAGAAGAAGAATTAGTGTGACAGCAGGAATTCCAGTAGCAAAAATAAGGCCAGGAGAAAGGATAATAAAATAATATGTAAATTGCTGTTGGAAAACAACCATTAATCTAGAATTCTAAACTGACCTAGCTAAACTATTATTCAGGGTGAGGATGAATTTAAGACATTCTCAGACAATTTGGTGGCTGAACAATGGTTTCATTTCTGTCTTTTTCTGTAAACATTTTAAAACACATTTCAATGTCATATCTGTAAATTTTCCCCATATGAAGATCCTGGTGGTATACCTTATAATTTGGGGTTTCAGTCTCACCTGTGGGGTTCCCACACCTTGAATAATGAGACTTCTTTATAATGAGGATTTACATTTCTACATGTCAGGCATCCTGGAATATTAGCAACTCACGGCCACTTTAGGTTGATTTCTTGGTTTAGGGTTTCCCACACTAATAGCATTGAATTGAAAATTAAATCCCAGGTCTGTGCAACAACAAGAAGACTGTGATTTTGAATTCTTAGAAAGACCCCTTGACACCACTGCATGCCCAGGCCCAGAGAAAAAAAATATCTTATTATCTTCCTTTGTTGATGAGTAGATTTTTTTCTTCCCTAGTCCTCCCAGCCCAGTAAGGAAGACACTGCCTCAAACAGGTGTTTTTAAAGCGTAAAGTTGTTTAAACTCTTTGTGCTTCAGTTTCCTCTACTTTTTAATCAGGACTATAATATTCATCCTGTAAATCTATTAGAATGCAATAATTGTACTTGATAAAGGACTGTTATTATTTTATTGTTATTATCGTCCTAATGATTAAACAGGATTATTATCAAGATTTTAGATGTGTAGGAAAATAGAAAAAATAAAACTTAGATTGATTAAAAATAATAAAAATGTAAGGTTTGTTATTTTAGAAAATGACAGTAATATACAAACTATTATGTAAGCATATGATCAGGCAAAGAATATGAACATATGCTGGAACTGAAACAAAAGATCATGGTCTAGGGACAGGAGACCTGGGATTCTAGCCTTGCCTCTGTTTCTATCAGAAAGCTACATTGCTTCTCTGAGCTGAAGTTTCCAGAATTCAAAACTTAGAAGAGGAACTTTGAAATCACCCAGGTCCTTTGTGCCTCTTCCATGCTATCATTTTCCATTATCTGCTCTATTTCTTTGTGGCTTATTTTTATAGTACCAAATTATCCGCTTTCTGGTACGTATTATAAGATTATGTGACCACAACATAATACTCTCGGGAAAAAAAAACAGCTTCTACTTCGTTTTTATTCAAAGAAAATAAGAAAGGAGAAAAGAGGAAGTAGTAATCAAACAGAAAAATGATAACCATAAACCCTGTGTTTTCGTAGCTTCTGTGTGCTTTAAAAAACTATTTCACAGGGACCACTGAGTTACTGCGGGTACCAGTTGGAGGTTGGATTTCCTACCTCCCCACTGCAGTGACCTACTGAGAAGAATCCTCTCCAGGAGATGCCTCATCAGAAATACTATAAATGGGAAAAAATGACTAAGGATCGTTTGCTATCAGCAACTTGGGGGTATCTACCGGAAATGTTCTTAACAACCCATAGGATGACAGACTGTAGTAGACTATGGATGACACCTTCTCCCATGGCCTGTCCTCAACTTAGCCAGACTCCCTCTGATGTGCCATTTTTAGTTCCTGTTCTCCCTCTTCCAATTCCCGAGACATCCTGAAAGGACCTACTGGCCTTGTGTACCTCCATATCAACTCTAGAGAATTTCCAAAGAAAACTTTAAGGAGGACAGTGAGATCAAACACTAACAATAAGCCACTGAAGATTGAGACGGCAGAAATCCTTGGCTACTGCAATAACAAGGCACTTTCACACATAAAAATAAAGTCAACTGTATCAATTCATATGTGCTCAGCTTAAGTCACTGTGGGCATGGCGCACTCACTTTCTTGCAGCCTTCTTCGACTTCCACTATTTCTGGACCTTGGCTTCGTGATTTCATCTTGCAGATGTAGCCAAGAGGCCACTCACAGCCCCGATCTGCCCAGTACCCATCCTGCAGGGAGCAAAGAGAAAGAAAACAAAGGATTATCAGTTGTTTTTTTTTTTTTTTTTTTTTGAGACAGAGTCTCACTCTGTCCCCCAGGCTGGAGTGCAGTGGCACGATCTTGGCTCACGGCAACCTCCGCCTCCCAGGTTCAAGTGATTCTCCTGCCTCAGCCCCCCAAGTAGGTAGGATTACAGGCACCCACCACGACGCCCTGCTAATTTTTTGTATTTTTAGTAGAGACAGGGTTTCACCAGGCTGGTCTCAAACTCCTGACCTCAGGCAATCCGCCCACCTTGGCCTCCCAAAGTGCTGGGATTACAGGCGTGAGCCACTGCGCCTGGCCAGTTTTGGACTTTGATGTCATTTTCTTGTAACTGTGCCTCAGAGGAGGAAAATTAAGATCCAAGGTTATTGAGAGAAAACGGCATCTACCAAAAGGAAAGGTAATTGACATGTTCACACGTAAACAGTAATTTTGACTCTGGCTACAAACATGTAAAAAGAGATTGGAATCCCAGTATGATTTTATATCGGAGATGTCCAAGCCACTGTTTAGAGGAATCCAGGGAGAAATTAAAAATGTCTGTAAGTCCTTAGATGTTGGTGCTCACAAAAGGTTTGCATGCAGCCTCTTCATCAATCTCTGCAGTCAGCTCTGTCTTCAAATTAATCAAGTTCATATAAGCCATCCAGAAAAATCTCCCACACCCAACACACCAAACTTGAAAACATCATGAAACCGCACTCATCTTTCCACCCTTCTTATTTCTACCGATGAGTTTTCTCCTGGATCTGAGGCTCAATCTTCCATTTTATTTCAGATTCTATCCCCTCCCTTTTCCTTTGAGATTTCATGTTAACAGGACCTCTCCTTTCCTTCCCTTTGCTGCTAAACATCTTATAAAAAATGTTTTCTGGGCCAAGCACGGTGGCTCACGCCTATAATCCCAACACTTTGGGAGGCTGAGGCGGGTGGATTCACCTGAGGTCAGGAGTTCAAGACTAACCTGGCCAACATGGTGAAACCCTGTCTCTACTAATAATACAAAAAAATTAGCTGGGTGTGGTGGCGCATGCCTGTAATCTCAGCTACTCAGGAGGCTGAGGCAGGAGAATCACTTGAACTCTCGAGGCAGAGGTTGCATTGAGCCAAGATTGTGCCATTGCACTCCAGCCTGGGCAGCAAGAGCGAAACGCCATCTCAAAAAATAAACAAATAAATAAATACATAAATACATAAATAAAAATGTTTTCTGTATTGTCTGTCTTTAATGCCCCATCTCTTAGTTGGTCTCAGCCCAATGCAATCTAATACGGAAGCCTTTAGCCAGAGTAATATTTATAAATTGCCACTTTGGTCTTACCCCTCTGAGACAATTCATATTTCTTGAACCTCAGTTCCTACCCACCCTTCCGGCTCTAACTTCACGATTTCAACCACACTGACCTTTCACCTCCTCCAAGCATGCTGCTTTCTGGTTTCTTCTGTCTACTCTTTGGATAGTTAACACCTAATATGTTCTTAAACTTTCAATCCATCACGATAAAAACAACCACAATGACAAAAATAATAGCCACAGTGACAAAAATAAACAACCATAATGACAAAAATTACTGAACAATAAATATGGGCTGGGAACTGTGTACTATACATGCATTATTTAATACTCACATCCTGGGCCTGGCACAGTGGCTCATGCCTGAAATCTCAACACTTTGGGAAGCTGAGGTGGGCTGATTGCTTGAGCTTAGGAGTTCAAGACTAGCTTGGGCAACATGGCAAAATCCCATCTCTACCAAAAATACAAAAACTTAGCCAGGCGTGGTGGCATGCGCCTGTAGTCACAGCTATTTGGAAGGCCTGAACCCAGGAGGTCAAGACTGCAATGAGCTGAGATTGTACCACTGCACTGAAGCCTGGATGACAGAGCAAGACTCTGTCTTAAAAAACAAACAAACTACAACAACAACAAAACACCTCGTATCCACAGGTGAGCTGACTACAGCTCTTATTTCCACTTTGCAAATAAAGGCGTCAGTCATGCAGCAAAACCCAGCCTCTTAATCACTGTGTTTATTGTCTATTAATAAAAGATAAATTTGATGACATTTTTCAGTCACTAAGGTCATATTTTAATCATAAACACCATCATTTCATATGACATCTCCAAATAAACTGAAAAAAATGAACGTAGCTCCCCAAGTACAGGTTCCAGGCCTCAACTACCATAGTTCTAAGTAGGTCTGCATCTACTCAGTGTATATGTATCTCTTACATCTATACGGGGCTATGATCTCTTTTTACATATATATACACACACATACATATATATCTCTTTTTACGTCTCGTGTAATCATATATATGGCTTATAATCACTTTTTACGTGAACATACATAATCATATATATATGGCTTAATTGGTCAAATGAGAGCTTTGGTATATATATACACCATTATAATATGGCACTATATATGTGGCCATATATGTATATATATAGTGCCATAGGAACAATATGAGTATTTGTTATGGGGCAATTTCATCTTTGAACCAAAAGTTTCTACCTGTTGCTTCAGTGATCCTCTTGAAAATTTAACTTTGGGCCGGGCGTGGTGGCTCACGCCTGTAATTCCAGCACTTTGGGAGGCTGAGGCGGGCAGATCATGAGGTCAGGAGTTTGAGACCAGCCTAGCTGATATGGTGAAACCCCGTCTCTACTAAAAATACAAAAATTAGCCGGGTGTGGTGGCACGTGCCTGTAGTCCCAGCTACTCGGGAGGCTGAGACAGAAGAATCACTTGAACGAGGGAGGTGGAGGTCACAGTGAGCTGAGATCATGCCACTGCACTCCAGCCTGGGTGACAGAGCGAGACTCCGTCTCAAAAAAGAAAAGAAAATTTGACTTTGCTAGACAATTGAGAGGGATTCAAGAAATCAAATCTGAATTTTGGTTCACCTTTGATCCATGCCAATTTACGTAGAATAAAAACAATCTAAACAAACATATGTAACTGAGTGGGACAGAAGGAAAACTCCCCTGTGACTTTCATTATAAATATCAGTAATTCAAGCGGCCTTACCTTGCCTTTCATCACCACACAATCTTCCTGTCTGTTGTTTTCATGGCTTGGTTCTCCACGAAGCCATTTGGTAAATGTTACAGGGGTCCCATCACTCCACTCAAAGTACATTTGAATCTTAATGTCATTTAAGCCAATCCACAATTCATCATTTGGCTCTAAACAGGAAGAAACACACAGTAGTATATATAAGGGCTGCTTTCCAAAGGTCGGCAGGGTAAAAGGAACGGAAGGCACCGTGCTTCATCAACAGGGCTCTACTTCCCTTGATATGATCACCATCATGAAAGATAGTCCTCATGTGTATTCATCTGAGCTACATGCTGTCGACTTAGATGCCAACTACATTTTACCTTGTTAGTTTGAGGTTGTGTAGTGTACCCTTTACATTGTGAATATGACTGTATTCTTTAGCGGAAATATAGATTATATCTCCTGGCAGCTACAAAAACAAAATTGAGGTAGGTCTATTACTATGCTCTATCTTATGAAGCTGCTTTTATTGTTACAAATAATTTACCATGTCAACTGCACTCATATTATTGGAAATACAGTGGCCTATTTATATACATCTATTTGACTATGATTAAATTGATGAATGTTTTAAAATAACAAAAATTTTAAACTGCTTCTATTTTACTGACTGTTGTTATCAAGAACATTCTAGGTGCTTCCGTTAAAGATCAATCAGTGTACTGGGAGTGTAAAGTATCTATATAGTGAAAGAATTATAAACCAAGAGGTGAGACTTGCACCTGACATTTGGTAGCTACTTCTTAGGCTGTACACACAAATGAATCTGTAATCATTTTCACCATGAAATGCCATGAAATTCCAGCAAAACTTCAATAACAAATGAAGTTAAAACCAAAACAACCAATATAGATTTAAAATGTGACCATTTTGTTTTGAAATTCCATGGACAGCATTATTGATTTTATAAGTAGGTGCCATGCTAAAAATTCCTAAATATCACAACAAAAATGGGATAACGTTAAAGTCAATGAAGGTTAAAGATGTCATGGCTAAAAAATAAACTTGTCTAAATAAAAAAAAAAGTTAAAGTGAACACAAATCAGTATCTATCTAATTCACACAACTGGGAGTCCCATCGTGAATGCTTCATGTATGATCATTTAGTGGTATAATAAAATTAGTTGCCAAAGTATTGTAAAGATGATGTTGTGGTAGAAAATGAGGAAAATATCACAATATATAAGAATCTCCCTAAGCGGTTTAGTCTCTTCCTCCTGAAAGTTGACATTCAACTTTGCTTTTGGAGAAGTCTCTGGCTGGCCTGGCGCCAGCCCTGGCAGATGTTTCCAGTGCCGTGGAGAATGAATGACATTGCCAAGATGATCCTCTTCTCCTTTCACTTGATTTGCAGATCGTGATCTCTTCAGCAACAAATACAGGCTTCCAAGTGACCTCACGTACCCCTCAAAGATTTCAATTGAAGATCAAAGAAAAACTAACCTCCTAAGTCCCATAATTAGAGTATAGTATTAAGAGTTTTTTATATACATATTTCTCACTAAATTGTTCTTCCCCTATAACTCCTTCAATTTCTAAGCACAATCTTGATCCTAGAAAAATATATAAGATGTGAGTATAAAGTTGTTATGCTGATTTTCATCAATCAGTTGGGGAAGTTGTATTCATTGGTATAATCACAACTTACTTGTACAAGTCTCAAAGTATTCACTTGAAATATACTTCCATGATTAATACAAAAGGTATCATCTCAACTATCTAAACAAAATTTCTAGGTTTTTTTTTAGAGACAATAATTTTAACTCTACAACTTTACTTGTATTAATATTATTTTATTGTTTAAAATAAAACCTTATCAATAATTTTAATGAAAGGTTTTCTAATTTATTAATTCACAAGCTGAATTTCAAAGCAACTTTGGCCATCCAATTTCCTGAAATAATTATAGCAATAAAAACATCAGGTTTCTTTCTTTTACTATAGTATGTTATAGAAAGTAGAGTTAAATGTGCACTCTAGTTCTATAGCATCCTAACTAACCTGTTTTCTGCTAAATCATTTGCAAACTTTACTGGCTATGATAAGTGCCACACTAAATTTAAGTAACTGTTATTCAGACGTATCAGTTCTGATTCCATTAGTATCTTCTAGTGTGAATTTTTCAGGATAGGTAGACACAGAATACCCAAGAAATTGTTCATAGGCTGCAGCTGGGCTATTCTCATGGCCTAAGACACTCAATGGGGTCAACACAGGAGGATGGATACCATTTGACAGGTGCTAGGGGCAGGAGTGTTTCGGGGTCTTTTAAGTCTTTCTCTGGTACTACTCTGTTGTTTTCTCATCTATTTGTTAATCGCTTTTTCTTCCCCTCCCCCAGCCCCCATCAGTTTCCAAGCACTATGTGTCAGGAAGCTGTCTCCACCATCTCCACCATCCATTTCCTCTTGTTTTGCTGGGGGGAAATGAAGAGCAGCTGCAGCTATTCAGCAGCCTCATCAGTGGAAGATGAAAATGATCATCATTTAATCAACAAGCACTGCTGAGTGCCCATTATCATTATGCTGTTTCTCAAGTCGCTCGTCTTCGGGACAAGCATTCGCAACTCATTTTATTCATCTATTTTTTTTTTCTGGTTAGTACATTTTCTATGTATTTTTAATTATGCACCTAAAATTGAGACATACATTTCTTTAGAAAAAATTTTCTTAGTAGAGACAAGGTCTTACTCTGTTCCCTGGGCTGGCCTCAAACTCTTGGGCTTAAGCTATCCTCCCACCTTGGCCTCCCAAAGTGGTGGGATTATAGGCGTGAGCCACCGTACCTTGGCCAAGAAATGTATTTCTTTAAAAGGTTTAGGTTGACATCTAACCATTTCAAAACAAAAATCCTGTATTTTTCACTGTTCAACACCCTCCCAGCATCAGCTAAATTCACAAAAAGAAAGAAATCCAAAGTCTGAAATAGTCCATTTAGAGATCTTTTTTAGGAGATAAAATATGGACCTAAAAAAAGAAGATACATACATACACACACACAGATAATTCCAAGGAATTAATCATTGTTGACAAGCCTAAGGTAGACTGCTCTGAATCCAGATAATACATTAAAAAATAATGTTTTAAAACTATCCATAAATGGATTACACATTAAAAGAAAAAAATTGAATCATCTTTCAGCGATCAGAATTCTTTCAATTATTATACAATTTTCACATTGTGGCATTTTTAGCATTTGTGATTAAATTCATATGTTGTTCATTGAATTATTAATTTACATTGATTAAATTTGATGTTTCCAATAAAATTTTCCAGAAGTGGGTAGAGAGGGGTGCTCCCAGGATTAAAGCCAAGTATATTATCACTGTCAGGCTTCTCACCATAGCCTAGCTGGGAGATAATAAAGTCAAATTCCTCGATGGTGTGGATACTTGCTAGGTCACCGCCTTCCTTCCTGCATGCGGTCAGAGCATCTCTCTGGATTTTCTTCTCATCTTTGTGAATCTTGTAACAGTGGCCGGCATATGGCCACCACTGACTAGGACAGTGAGTAGGCACATCACTTTCTGGAAACAAAAAGCGGGGGTGGAAAAAAATTTTAAAATATTTGATTAAAACTATAACAATATTTTAATCATTTTATATAATACATGAAACAGCTTATAGTCATTAGGCAAATAAAGGTAATATTTAGTTTTAATTTTTGCGGCATACATATTCACAAAAGATAGACAAGCCATATACTATTTTGTTGGTTTTTAGACAAAACAAAAGAACGTACTTTTTAGTCAAATGGGATATGATCTTATCAATTTTCTTTCTTTTTTTTTTTTTTTTTTTTAAGAGACGAGGTCTCACTCTGTACCCCAGGCTGGAGTGCAGTGGTGTGATCATGTTCTCATTGCAGCCTCAACCTCCTGGGCTCAAGCAATCCTCTTGCCTCAGCCTCCTGAGTAGCTGCAACTACGGGGCATAAGCCACTGTACTTGGCTATGGGAAATTTCTTTTTAAAAAGTTGTACCTATAACAAAACTATACTAATATATATTAGATTATCTAAATCTTGTCAGCAAAGCTGAACTAAGCATATGTTATGCACTGTTTAAATGCTGGAGGCCTGACAGCTTTGGGGGACTAAACACATCCCCTAAAAGATTTGAATTTACTTTATTCTATGGACATTAGGGAGCCAATCACTCTTGAGAGGCAGATTACTGTTGAAGTAGGCAGCTGGAATGGTTGGGGCACAAACGGTCCCCAAGGAGCCTCTGCCACCATAGCCACACGACTCAGCCACCTATTGCCTCAGAACAGACCCACTACCATTTACTTGCTCCCCGAAACTGATACGTGCTCTTGTAACTAGGAGAGGGATTTGGAGTCAGAACTCGTAAAACCTGAATGTGCGGTGAGTTGTGTGATCTTAGGCAAGTCACATCACATAAACAGAAGTATCCATACAGGTAAAAATTTTTAAATGAGATTAATACTAACACGAATATCAAACCACCCACCCTGTGTTCTTCTGAACTAGAAAAGAATAGAGACAGTGTGCTTGTAAACCACAAACACCACACAATCATTATTTAATTAAACTAGTTGTCAACATCCTCAGGATCGCTACTAATAGCATCAAATTGTATAATCTTGATTATACACTACAAAAATTTACTTTAATAGTAATGAGCTAGGGGAAAGTGACAATAAAGACATTTGAAAGCAGAAACTCACTTTATTCATCCCTATTGCCTTGAGCCTGGCATGGGGCCTGATACATATAGATGTATTGAGTATTGGAAGAGAAAAAGAATTGAATTGAAGTTATAGCTGATATATGGCTGCTTGTTATTACTATTCTAGAGATACTATTTCAAACAGTAATTTGGCAACATGTTTTGCTTAGAGGGGGACTATATTACCAAATGAAAGTGAACTTATATATTATTTAAGCTCATATTAAATGTTTTCAAATGACTGCCTTACTATATGTTCATATAGGGTAACTTTCTTCACTATTCCTTTAATTCCTGAATTGGTCCTATCTTCCCTTAAAGGTGGAGAGTATCTGAAATATCATTGTTTAAGCCCAGGATTCTGTGCCCCGTAGTCATACAAGGAACTAATCAGTCATGAGGCTCAAATGGTGTACAACTGTAATAAAAATGCATATTTTTTAAAAAATTATATTCCCTCAATACAATTTAGATTCTTTGCACTTCCGGTGGTTTTAAAAAAAAAAAAAAGAAGAAGAAAAAGAAAAAGAAAGAAAAGTTAGCACAGCTTTGGAGCCCTCTGGTGGTTTATTTTAATTTTGCTACCCAGGAAATTGACAGTAGGATCAGCCAATGCTGAGTCCTTCAAAAACTGAACCAATGAACTTTAAAAATATTTGAAAGCATGAAAACAACTGACTTGAGTGACATGAAGGGGAGTTCCCTGGGGCAGCCACAGAAGATGGTTTGTTCCTCTAGCCACAGCTCATGTGCTCAGTGCCCACATGTGGTTAGTGCCTGTTAAGCCAGACTGTACAGCCTTAGAGACCTGAGGATTATGGATGAACGGGTTAGTGTTACAAGAATTCACAGGGTTTGAGGTTGAATTCTTGCCTAAGGATGTTGCCAATCCTGTATATTTCATAATTTGAACTCTGATACGCTTTTCCAGGTTCTGGTTTATCTGAGTTTATAGATAAAACAGAATCCTTAATCCAGGGAGTGTAGAGACGCTCAGAAACTCACGTCAAGCGGTTAGCAAGTGAAGGAGGCATCACAGAGAAATAAGAATGTACTGAGTGTTTGATGAAATGAACAAAATTTTATCTCAGGAAGAAGAGTCATGAATATTTCCATTTTACAGATGAGGATCCCAACACCAGCAGGTTAAGCAGTAAGGCCAAGTTACAGAATTCTGAGTGCTGTACCAGAGAAACTATAAAATAACTATTCTCCTCTTTGGCAACATGGAAATTCCAAGTCTTCGAAAGAGAATTGTATGAAGTCTTCCAAAAAGGAAAAAAATACACTATTTCTCCTAGAGGAGGAATAGTGGAGGTAAAATGCAAAAATGATGGGCTTTCCCTGAAGACACCCACTGTCATTATGGAGAACCTGTAAAGCATAATCAAACCCAACATCCATGACCCTCATCTATATCTATTTAAGATCTTGGCCAAATCTACATCAATTAAAATCGCAAATACATCTCCTCCCTAATCCAACAAGTCCACTTCCAGGCATTACCACGTGCATGAAATGATGTGCATACAATGTATACAGTTATTCACTTCAGGACTGTTTGTATTAATAAAAGATTGGAAGTAAATTAAATTAAAAATCCATTAACAGGAGACTGGTCAAAAAAATATATGTGCTGTCTCTGCAATATCTTTTGGACAGCCATGAAAATACACATAGAAGCTATTTATATTCTATATGGAATGATGTCCAAAATTGTTATTAAGTGGAAAACTTAGGGTAAAAACTATTACAGTATATTGCCATTTGTATGAAACAAAAATCATTATAAATGTATATGTTTATATAGTCACAGAATAACTAAGGATACACACCCAGAAACAATCACTCTCCAGGAAGGTAAACCGGGTGTTACAGGTAAGAGGTAGGGAAAACCTTATTATTTATCATGTTGTACCTTTTGAATCTCTAGCTATGTCAAGCATATTTTAAAATACATGAAATTGTTTTCAAAGCCAATGAGAAAAAAAAATCAAGAATGTCACATTGTCAGGTTCCTCCAGCAGAAAAACAGAAATAAATTAAACCACTTAAAGCATTAGTTATCCCTCCAAAAACAGGTAATAATAAAAATATGTAGTTTGTCTTTCATCAATTTGAAGAAATAATTCTTGCCTTAGTAGTTTATTCTCCTATAAAATTGTAAGGGACAGCACAACTGATTTTTTTTTTCTTGAAGTCTAGCCGACATTTAAAATTCAGTTACAGGCCAGACACGATGGCTCATGCCTGTAATCCCAGCACTTTGGGAGACTGAGGTGGGTAGATCACCCGAGGTCAGGAGTTCGAGACCAGCCTGGCCAACACAGTGAAACACTGTCTCTGCCAAAAATACAACAATTAGCTGGGCATGATGGCACACATCTGTAATCCCAACTACTTGGCAGGCTGAGGCAGGAGAATCACTTGAACCCAGGAGGCGAAGGTTGCAGTGAGCTGAGATCGCGCCATTGTACTCCAGCCTGGGTGACAGAATGAGACTCTGTCTCAATAAATAAATAAAATTCAGTTACAACTTTTTAGATATTTTATTCTAGTCTATGAAAACTTCCGTATAAGATGCTACACTGCATAGCATGGAAGCCCAAAGAGAGCCGTAAGGACCTAATATAAATATCCCGTCCAAATATTGACTTTCTCGCTTGGATTCTGGTTTTGCCAAGTGTGCAAGGTTTCTGTATCCTCTGAATATCTTTTTCCTCAACGATAGCATGTGAATAATGACACCTACCTCAGAACACTGCTTGTGAAGATAACGTTTTTATTTAGGTCAGAGGGTCTCCACAATGCCCAGACACCGCCGCACACTCAGGAAATGTTAGCAACCAGCACACAGAAATATTGCAGTAATATGATTCAGTTTACCCCGTCGACTATCCATAAAACCTCTGGAGGCATTCCAACAGTTACACCTAAGCTGTAATGGTACTTATATTTCAATTCTAATAGTTTGGGCACTTCAGACCCCATAGACCACTTACCTGAGGGAATAACAAAAGAATTCAAAGTAGTGTTGCCCTTTTTGCAAATATAGCCTAGTTTCTGAACACATTCCAGATTTTCCCATTTAGCATTTTTTCCAGGATTTAGTGACACGCAGCTTTTTCCAGGTTCAGCTGATGGACTTCCTTTGAGGAAAAGGAAAAGTTAAAGTGGACTATTATAGCTATTCCCAGCAGAGAGCATCCCTCCCACGTGTCCTCATGTCTTCATCCTGGAGATTCAATGGACCCCCATTCTGTCTTTTGCTACACATTCACAAAAAAATATTTACTGACTGCAGAGCAAAAGACAAGATGGGTGTCTATTGTTTTCTTATTGTTGGATCACTCCAATACTTAGAATGTTGATAAAGCAAATATACTTCTTTGAAACAACCTTTTTCCCCATTATCAACTAATAAAGCTACACCTTAAAACTTGAACAGTTGTCACAATGGATTACATTATCAAAGAGAGGTACCTAATGAAAAGAATGCATGATTATGCAGCCATTAAAAAAAAAAACCGAAATCATCATGTCCTTTGCAGCAACATGGATGCAATTAGAGGCCATTATCCTAAGTGAATTAACACAGAACAGAAAGCCAAATAGCCATGTTCTCACTTCTAACTAGGAGCTAAATATTGAGTTCTCATGGACACAAAGATGGCAACAACAGAAACTGGGGACTATGAGATGGGGGAGGAATGGAGGGTAACAAAGTTTGGAAAACGAACTACTGGGTACTATGTTCTCTACCTGGGTGATGGGATGGATCATTTATATCCCAAACCTCAGCAACATGCAATTTACCTAGGTATGTAACAACCGTGTACATGTATCCCTGAATCTGAAAGTAGAAATTATTAAAAAGAAAGAATACATGATGTTCCAAACCAACCATGTTAAACATTATTAGGGCCGGGCACGGTGGCTCACGCCTGTAATCCCAGCACTTTGGGAGGCCAAGGCAGTGTATCAACTGAGGTCAGGAATTTGAGATCAGCCTGGCCAACATTGTGAAACCCCATCTCTACTAAAAATACAAAAAAATCAACCAGGGAGGTGGCAGGTACCTGTAATCCCAGCTACTTGGGAGGCTGAGGCAGGAGAGTTGCTTGAACCTGGGAGGCAGAGGTTGCAGTGAGTGGAGATCACACTACTGCACTCCAGCCTGGGTGACAGAATGAGACTCTGTCTCAAAAATAAAAATATAAAATAAATGGTGGAGAAAAAGCTAATGAGAGAGCTAGAAGGGCAACATGCTGTGCTCCCAGAACTAAAACTCTCTCACTATCTTCAACTCAGCCTATTGAAGAATACTTTCAGCAGCTATGCCTTATCCATTTCTTAGTGGAAACTGACTAAAGAACCTGATAAAGTCAGTGTTGCTAGTGGTATGAATACAGGCATTGATATATTTCACATGTGTTTTGCTATTCTAATATATGATTTAAAAACCAGTATTCCCCAAACTAGCTTCACCGTCCACCTGAAGACAGTGTGAATGAGCCACATTCTGCTCCACAAAGTCTGGAGCAGGTAATAATCTAAATAAAGGGGTTTTTTAAAAAAAGGTTTGGTAGTAATGGTTAGTAATAAGCATAAAGTAACCATAAATAATGGTTGGTAACAAGCATAAAGTTATCCTTTTTTTTTTTTTTTTTTTTGAGACGGAGTCTCGCTCTGTCATTCAAACTGGAGTGCAGTGGCACGATCTCGGCTCACCGCAACCTCCTCCTCCCACGTTCAAGCAGTTCTCTGCCTCAGTCTCCCGAGTAGCTGGGATTACAGGCACCTGCCACCACACCTGGCTAATTTTTGTATTTTTAGTAGAGATGGGGTTTCACCATCTTGACCAGGCTGGTCTTGAATTCCTGACCTCATGATCCACCTGCCTTGGCCTCCCAAAGTGCTGGGATTACAGGTGTGAGCCACCACGCCCAGCCAAAGTTATTTTAAAGTTAATAATAAGCATAAAGTTATCATAAAGTTAGTAATAAGCATAAAGATATCTTAAATATTTGTTGATACAGTAACTAAAATAACAGGATAACTGAACTAACAGATAAGGTATCAGCACTAAAAGGAAACTTTCAAGAAAAAAATACATTTTCTAGCTATTAGTTATTAATGTGTTAATTAGAAAATCATGTTACACATTTATTTATCAATACCTCTCTCAACTTTGAGACATTAATTAGTGGTCTTAATGTTTACCATAGTTATTATATATTTGAATTCATGCTTACACATCATTTATGCAAAATATTCTCACTTCAAAAGGGAATATATTTTAATCGATTCATTACTTGGTAATTATTCAATTGAATGCTTGACTGAACAATTTATATGAAACCGATTTTTAATTTCCACAAGATCTCTAATTTTCATTGGAAGAAACTCTCATACCATTTCGCAAAGCAATTTAATCTTGCGCCTACTTCTTAGGAATTGAGGTTTAATTTAAAAAAGCATTTACTTCCCTTTCTTAATCATATTCCACTTTCATTCTTTACTTCACCCAAAGTTAACTCAGAAATGTTCTCCCTGAACTTGTAGGATCCAAGTGGTTAAATATGATAATCATCACCCCTGATTGAATAAATTAAATGACTGCCTACTGTGCATAAAAATTTAGCAACACAGAAAAGAATACATTCTAGTCCCCTAATAAATTTTATTGTCTAATAAATCAGATTGAGCGCAACCAGTACTCTCTAATTGCATCTGGCTGAATGGGTAGACAGACACCTAAAATCTTCACCCACAGAAAAATGATATTTTATATGTATTCTCTTGCCGTAAGTCTTCCCATATTCCAGAAATTTTGACTTCCCGCATTCCAGAAAAAAATAGAACTGATTATTAGCTCAAGACTTTTGTGACAGCACTGTAACCATCGTTTGTTGAAGTAATGCTTTGAAACTGGAATTTCATAGTAAAATATAATTTATTTAAACCAAAATATGTTCTCTAAAATTTTTCTCTCATGTTTTAGCATCTATTTGAAATGTTGTTTTATTGCAATTTTTCTTCTTGTAATACAATAAACCAAATACAGAAAATGGAGAGTTTGGCCAGGTGCAGTGGCTCACACCTGTAATCCCAGCACTCTGGGAGGCTGAGGCAGGCCACATCACCTGAGTTCAGAAGTTCCAGACTAGCCTGGCCAATGTGGGGAAATCCCATCTCTACAAAAAATTTAAAAAAAAATAGCCAGGCATGGTGGTGCATGCTTGTAATCCCAGCTACTTGGGAGGCTGAGGCACGAGAATCATTTGAGCCAGGAAGGCTGAGGTTGCAGTGAGCCGAGACTGCGCCACTGCACTCCAGCCTGGGCAACAGAGTGAGACCTTGTCTCAAAAAAAAAAAAAAAGGAGAGTTTAATTTTCTAAGCCAAATACAAAAATCACTCAATGGCTTTAGAAAAGAAGTCTGACTGTCTGAAGAATGCTGTATTATAATAGTATGGCCCATAGGAGAATTGATAAGTAAAGATGTGACCAATATGATACTTCCGTCCTTTCCCACACCCATGGCAGACATCACTAATCATTAATTGCACTCTTTCCTTAAAAAAAAAAAAAAAATGGCACTGGGGTGGGATTGAGGGGTGGGGATTGGATTCATACCCAATAGAAGGCCTCAAGTGGCTACTAACACTTGTTGGTACTGGTGAATGAGATAAAAACTTTATGTCTTTTTTTTGTTTTCTCTAAATAGTTGCTCAATATGTAAACTTATTTTATATTCTGTTACTTTTATGTTATGACAATGTGGAAACAATTAGCTCACAGCATTTTCTATCCTCTAAAAAATGAGAAAGTTGTTGTAGGTTTTATCATCCCCAACTGTTTTTCTATAAACTACAAACCGTCAAGAAACCGCTAATGAATTTTTATGCTAATATGGAATATCATAAGCTGTGACTGAGATACTATTTTTAATCCAGTGCTACTAAATCAAAAACAGGAAAGGGGGCTGTTAATGTAGATGTTAAAATCATTGTCACAAGGACAGCAAAATTGCAAATAGCTCATGACTCAAGGTACAGTCATAAAAAATTCTCCAACCCAAAATAATTTAAATCCACTTGTCCAACTTTACAAAGAGATGTTGGCCAATCCTCTCAAGGATGGTGACAAAGTCGATGCAACAGCAAGTACATAGTAACAACGCAGCTAGCATATTTAGGAAGTCATGTTTAAGAGTAGCTATAACATCTGCTTTTGAATGTAATACCCAACAAATCAGGGATACACTGAGAATTGAAACTTTAAACAGAGACCTTTATTGATTTGTGTGAGAATCCTGGCAGACAAATCCCTATCCCAGGAAGCTGGTATATAACCTTAAGGTTTAGTATATGGAAATCTAGCTGGTAGATTTCAAAGCAAGGTGAAATGAACTGTATTTGATGAAGTCTAACAATTATTCTCTTTGAGATCAATAGGTGAGATAATAAAGGTCTTCAAGGCATCTAGATGACTTAAATTTGGATTAATTCAGCACAGACAGGCTTAACCCTACCTGGTAACCAGTTCAAATATCGGAACGGACTGCGGTCACTCCACTGCCAACCGCTGTTGAAGCTCAGACTGTTAAGTCCAATCCAGAGTCCTGAGGTCAAGGAACTGGTTAATCCTATATTTTTAAAGAAAGCAAAACAAACAAATAAGAAACTGCCATTCAGAAAACAGTTGAAATTAAATTCAGAATTAAGTGTTTGACTCAAAATGTAATTGAGGGAAGTCACAATAATCATGCCTACCATGTCTCCTTCGATTCTCCTGACAATCTAAGGCAAGTAAAATTATTATCTTCATTGATAGGTGGAGAAACTGAGGCAGAGGGAGCATAGGTAACCTGGAAAGATTTTTAAGGTTCCAACCCAGATCCAGTGAGGCTTCAAACCCTATCATCTTAACTATTATCTACTTTCTCAAGGATAGTGTCAAAGATAGTGTTGTGTGAATATGACTAAGTATTACCTCAACTGCGTATTTCAAAACTTATTTTAAGAATTTTATTTTATGATTTTTTAAAGTCAATTTCTCTTCTTCATTAAAATGATGATTAAATACTAATCACTAAGGGCTTATGCTAACACCAAGGATGCTTTGCTTAAGCAGTTAAGAAATCAAAATTACAATTACAATGTTTCAAATTCTGTACTAGGACTGATGTGGAAGTCATAAAACTACAAACAGGGACCTCATTTCTTCAACAGGAAACACTCTAACCTATTATTACCACTATAATTTTTTTTTTTTTTTTTTTTTTTGAGACGGAGTCTCACACTGTCACCCAGGCTGGAGTTCAGTGGCACAATCTCCACTCACTGCAACCTCCGCCTCTCGGGTTCAAGTGATTCTCCTGCCTCAGCCTTCCTAGTAGCTGGGATTACAGGTGACGGCCACCATGCCCGGCTAATTTATTTTTGTACTTTTAGTAGAGATGGGATTTCACTATGTTGGTCAGGCTGGTCTCAAACTCCTGACCTCAGGTGATCCGCCCACCTCTGACTCCCAATGTGCTGGGATTAGAGGCGTGAGCCACCGTACCCAGCCACTTCTATCTTTTTTAAACCATCAATGATAATTCTCTGTTCTGAGTTATTTTAATTGATTAAAAGCAATTAATTAAAACAATAACTATCCTTTGGCTTTTAAAAACATTTTTTAAATTTATTTTTATTTTTTAGAGATGGAGTCTCACTATGGTGCTCAGGTTGCTCTCAAACTCCTGGGTCCAAGCGATCCCCCTACCTCAGTCTCCTAAGTAGCTGAGACTACGGGTTGCACAACACTGTACTCAACAACCTTTAAAAGAAATTCTTTAAAATAATTTTCACAAATTATTTAAAGTTGTACTAACTTGAATAATAATTATCTCTCTACTTGCAGAGATGTATTCTACAGGACATGCTCCTAAAAGTAGCATTTTCATACTAGCTATTCCCAAAACCAGTAACTCTGGAATTTTAAAAAAATTAGTTAAGAAAATAAGTGTATTTAAGTTTTAAAAATTGTAAATAATTTGCTGATTAAAGAATTGAAGTCAGTTTTGTCTGAGATTACGTAACTAAATTACTGTGTTTGGCATAAGAAATGATAATAGCTCTTTAAGAGAGATATCTTTTGACATTTTTTACCAGCTCTAAGTACTTATAAACTTGTCTTGAAAAATTGAATTAGTTAATACTTTTTAAAACAAGGCCTGACATACGGTATGTGCCCAATAAATGTTAAGTTACTACTGTTATTATTACCATTATTATTATTATCAATAGCTTCATATTGAATTAAGGTTGGCAAAAGGTGTGACTTTGAAACAAAATTCAAATCTTGGATTAAAATATATCTCTTAAAGCAGATGAGTGTTGTCCACAAATAATTTTCTCTAATATGCTTTTGTAATTTTATAAAAGAACAGACCAAAATATTTTAGTATTGCCTCAAAAAGCAACAATTCCACGTGCTAAATTTTTGTTGTTTATTTTGTTTTTTTCCCAGACACCAACTCAAACCAGAAATTTCTTTGTACAGTTAGGGTCTTGCTATAGTGCCCAGGCTGGTCTTGAACTCCTGAACTCAAACAATCCTCCCATCTCAGCCTCCCAAAGCACTGGGATTACAGGCCTAAGCCACCGCGTCCAGTCTCACATGCTCAAGGCGTAAGTTTTCTGCATACGTTGTCTGAACTTGTTAATTGTCTGAAATGGTTATATACCAACTTTGAACTTAGATGTGATAGAACAGCACAAAAGTCCAATATTACACTGGTATTTTTATTTTCGTGTTTTGTTTTTTTTTTTTTTCTTCTTCTTAGTGAGGTCCAATGTGTTTTTCAGGCAGTACCAAAGGAAACTGGTAAAAACAATCGGGAAACGAGTCAAATTTCACTTCCTATATCTTATTTCAGTTCTGTAAATCCTCATCCTGCACATAAGGAGTCATAAATCTGATTCAGGACTCAGGGACTCCATAGAGTGTCCCAACATTTTTCAGGGTAGAAACAGAAGGGAAGATGATAAAACAGCTGTGGGTAGTGCACAAACGTGTTGCCAGGCAGAAACATTTCACCCAGCAGATAATATGAAATCAGATCACCACCAATCTGGAATACATTTACTGCAGCCAGGAAATGTTGACAAAATTAAGGGTTCTCATCAGTGCTTTGGGAACCAGCCGATCCCCAGGTGTTCTGTGCGTGAGACACAGGCAGAGTGAAATGAAAGATGGCTGAATTCCAGTTCAGCTATTTTCTAAACAGTAGGCATTAAGCAAGTTCCCTAACTTCTTCCTCCTAGTCTGTTATCTCATCTATACTGTGGGGCTAATAGTATTCATTCATGAAGTTGCTGTAGGCTTTAGAACTAAAGCCCAGAATCTACTACATGGTAGCTCTTCAGTAATGGCAGGCAATTTAATCACAGAGTCATCAAACCAGGTTCTACATTTTTAAACAATGACCCTGACTCTGGCCGAGTGTGGTGGCTCACGCCCGTAATCCCAGCACTTTGGTAGGCGGAGGCTGGCGGATCAGCTGAGCTCGGGAGTTCAAAACCATCCTGAGCAACATGGTGAAACCGCGTCTTTACTAAAATACAAAACATTAGCTGGGTGTGGTGGCACGTGCCTGTAGCCTCAGCTACTCAGGAGGCTGAGGCACAAGAATTACTTAAGCCCCGGTGCCACTGCAGTCCAGCCTGGCGACAGAGTGAGACTCCGTCTCAAAAAAAAAAAAAAAACTGACTTTTCAAAACCCTCATATAAAAGAAAACTTATTTAAAAGTGTAAATATTTTGTAGGTTGTTTTTTCATTTTAATGGCATATTTTCCAAAAGAGAGTGGATCGCAATCACACACTCACACCACTATTTTCTATTCTTCCCCAATATATCTCAATCAATGCTGAGTGTCATCCCTTTCTTTCAAATAAACAGTGGGGAGAGAACATCGTTTCCCTATTTTTTAAATTCCCTGTCAGATTTTTTCTTGTTCTAATGCCTGATATTTTTTACTTAAAGAAAGGCAGGAAGTACTACAAATCTCATTAGAGATGCCATTCTTATCCAGATGCCAGTGAAAATTTGCTGACTGAAATTCCGGAGGCTTGGATAAGATTCAAGTCAGTATCTGAGGTGAACCCAGCCTCTGAATCTCCTGGGGCTTGTTTGCTGTCCTGATGGACACAAGAATAGCCCTTGCTGATTAGGGAAGCATTTCCTGCAGCCAGAGTCTGATAGCAGAGTCCGGAGACCAGGAAATGAGTCTGTGCCTGGGCAAAGCCGCTGTCGGCTCAGATCCTTCGTTCCTTCTGTGTAGCTGGTGGAGAGAGCACAAAGTAACCTGTGCTCTGTCCCCGGGCTTCCAAGAGATAACACACCCCATAAACAAATTCAAACACAAAACCAGAAGCACACCAACTGAAACCATTTCACCTCTGCATCTCTGATATATATTTTTTCTTTTCTTTTTTTTTCTTTTTTCTTTTTTTATTTTTATTTATTTATTTTTTGAGACGAGTTTCACTCTTGTTGCCCAGGCTGGAGTGCAATGGTGTGATCTCGACTCACTGCAGCCTCCACCTCCCAGGTTCAAGCCATTCTCCTGCCCCAGCCTCCCAAGTAGCTGGGATTATAGGAGCCTGACACCACGCCTGGCTAATTTTTTGTATTTTCAGTAGAGACAAGATATCACCATATTGGCCAGGCGGGTCTCAAACTCCTACCTCAGGTGATCCACCCACCTCGGCCTCCCAAAGTGCTGTGAATAGAAGCGTGAGCCACTGTGCCCAGACCACCTCTGATACATTTTCTCTCGTGCCTGCAGGTCTGCCCAAATAACCCCAGGACTGCCTCGAATCATCTTTTCTTTTCCTTCATCATCTACATAAATTTACTTTTGTCTCTTCTGTACTTTCTCCTCTTCCTCCTTATTTTTGTGCATGGTTGTAAATATGAATCACTCCAATCCTTTGTGTTCCACTATTAGAACGGTCCTTAAGGCCAATGCAAAACAGGATAATTGAGTAGACAGAGGAAGAACCCTATCTCTAAGATCATGAATGCACAGTGGCGTCATACTGCTTTCTATCCTCAGTCTCCTTAACAATAACTTATAGGAGAGAGGTGTTCTGGTTGGTGACGGGTGTCATCTGAAAATAGCTGGACAAAGGTAGGTGCTAAGAAACGAGGCCAGGTAGGGAGTATGCTCTTGCCCTTACATGGGTTCACACACATTAACTCCTTTAACAGACAAGGTCACCAAGGCACAAGTGCCTCAGGAAATGCCCACGAGCTCCCCCAGTTTCACAGAGCTAGGACCTAGGCAGTCTGGCTCCAGGATCTTTGCTCTTAGCCCCTCTGCTCCGCTGCCTGGTGTTGGCACCTGGATGTAGCAGGAACCCACACAGTGTTTTACCAGATATGGTCTTTCAACCAGTTGCCTCGGAATCACCCGGGAGTTTGATAAAAGGCAGATTCTTGTGCCCTGAGTCACACCTACTGATCTAGAATCTTCGGGGTCTTGGCCCAGGCATCATCACTTTAACAGAATTCTAAGGTGATGAATAAGCCACTTCCCACAGAAGAACCACTGCATTTACTGTCTTCTTGCCATGAACTGTCTAGTTTTCCAAACAGGAGATTGAATTTCTAAGTATTTTTATTTTGCTGCACGTGTCAGTCAGCAAACGTTCAGCGAGACTCTTCCTTGGAAGGCTCTGTGTGAATCTCCTTGTGGGGAGAGGGGACATAGATATTCACAAGACATTCCCCGTTTTCAGCTATTTCCCCCTCTGACACAATCTCCACATGGCCTTCAGTTTGCTTTCCATGCAGGACTTGTTGTAATTGGTACCTATTCATTTGTTTGTTTTCTTGTTTACATCTGTTTTTTCCCATTGGACTTGAAGCTGCATGTGGACAAGACAGGGTCAGCTTTGATGTCCCCAGGACCTAGCACAAAGCCTGGCACATGGGTACCAGGTATCTTGGGAATGAGTGAATGAATGAGTAAATAAATAATAACAAATTAATGTATTTATAGTGTTGTCGAGGAAGCAGGACATATGTGTGAGTAACTATTATATTAATAAAAGTGGTAATAAGCAAATAAGAGAAATGCAGATGGAAATAGAATTGCATTTCAACTGTATACAATTGTGAGAATTCCAGCCAAAAGAAACGACATGGGAAAAGATATGAGGGTGAGAATGGATGAGGAAAAACAAGGAACCCAAGACTTCTCTTTTGTCGGGACTGCAAAATGCAAGATGTTCGGGAGATGGCAACCTTGAATGTCAGGCAAAACGTATTTTGTTAATTATTTGATAGGAAATGAGAAACCACAGGGATTTTTTGAACACGGCAGTCATAGGAGCAGAGACAGGTTAATATTAATCTAGCCGTGTCCAGAGAAACCAAGGGAGGAGATTTTGGGGGCAAGAAATCAGGGATGCCTTTGCTCCCACACTAATTTCTGGTCCTAATCTCTCTGTTTCCCCAAGTGTATATTTTAGAACCTAAAACAGATACTCTCTTCTCAAGCAAACTTTAGCTCTTTTAGTCTTCACACTCTAATAAGAACAGATGTTTTAAAAACAAACACATTGGCCCGGTGCAGTGGCTCACACCTGTAATCCCAGCACTTTGGTAGGCCGAAGCAAGTGGATCACCTGAGGCCAGGAGTTCACGAACAGCCGGGCCAACATGGAGAAACCCGGTCTCTACTAAAAATACAAAACTTAGCAGGGCGTGGTGGCAGGCGCCTGTAATCCCAGCTACTTGGGAGGCTGAGGCAGGAGAATCACCTGAACCCAGGAGGTGGAGGTTACAGTGAGCTGAGATCGCGCCATTGCACTCCAGCCTGGGCTACAAGAGGGAAACTCCATCTCAAAACAAAACAAAACACAACACAACAACAACCAAACCAAACACACTGTGGAAAGAGTATCAATAAAAACTGAAAACTGGTAGAGCCTGGGGGTTCAAGGGACGGGAGGCAAAAAGAACTCAGGGTTTCAGGGTTTCAGGGTTTCAAAGCAGCCTTTGACTTGTCCCTGCCAGTGGTAGCGCTGTTTTAATTGATCATTTTGACCTCTATGAGGCTAATGAAAGACTTGTGGCTTCAGGTTAGACCTGGATGATGGATACTTGACCAAGAGGCTTCAGGTTAGACCTGGATGATGGATACTTGACCAAGAGGCTTCAGGTTAGGACCTGGATGATGGATCTTGACCAAAGAGGGCTTAGGTTAGACCTGGATGATGGATACTTGACCAGAGGTTCAGTGAGACGCTGGATGATGGTACTTGGACCGAGGAGAGGGCTTCGGTTAGACCTGGAATGATGGATACTTGACCAAGGAAGGCTTCAGTTAGACCTGGAATGATGATACTTGACCAAGAGGCTTCAGGTTAGACCTGGATGATGGATACTTGACCAAGAGGCTTCAGGTTAGACCTGGATGATGGATACTTGACCAAGATTGTTCCACTGCCTTGCGTCCAAGAACGACATCATTAATCAACTGTGGCATATTTTACTCTGATTCTAGATTAGCTCTCAGAATCCCTCTTAGCACTGGCTCTAGAGACTCTTACAACCAACAGTTGACTCAGGAGATGAGAGCTATTTGCCATTCCTGGTGTCCTTTTCAGAGTACAGATTTGCATAACATCTGCATAAACTGCTTAAGAACTGCTTCTGTCATATAACATCTATAAACACTTGTGCTGTTGACTTGTAAGTTAAATTATATAAAAATAAAGCACTCTTGATTTTACTTGCGACTTTTCTTTTCATGTCATTACCTGTCAGGTATGTTTGCTCATGTATCTCTGTGATGCTCAGGAGCTCAGCGTTTTGCTGTTGGCAGCTTTTCCTTGCCTGGTGCCACATTAAAGCGGATTTGGAATTTATCTGGTAGGAAATGCTGGTCAGCGGGTCTTTATTCCATAAGCTTTCACTGCCCTCAACTGTGAAAGAAATCAGATGGAATTTGATGCATTATGCATGGAAAACACTTTCAGTGAATAGCATTATTTAAACCAGCCTAGGAGTATTTTTGCCTGAAGCACTTTCTTTCTTTCCTTTCTTTTTTTCCCCTGCTTCTACTTCTTTTTCTTTTTCTATTTTTTGAGACAGAGTCTTGCTCTGTTATCCAGGCTGGAGGGCAGTGCTGTGATTTTGGCTCACTGTACCCTCCAACTCCTGGGGTTAAACAATCCTCCCACCTCAGTTTACCGAGTAGCTGGGACTCCAGGCATGCACCACCATACCTGGCTAATTTTTTAAATTTTTGCAGAAATGAGGTCTCGCTATGTTGCCCAGGCTAGTCTGAAACTCCAGTTCTCAAGCCATTCTCCTGCCTCGGTTTCCTAACGTGCTGGGATTACAAATGTGAGCTACCATGCTCGGACTGTTTTACTTGTTTTTAAGGTGGCTTTGAGATTTTCTTTACTCCTGAAATGAAGTAGGAGGTGGGGGATGAGGTTTCAAAGGATCAACTACATCCAGTCTCTTCCCCCTTCCTAAAGAAAGAAAGGCAGGCACCATCTCCCTTTCAGGATCAGTTGCGTTGGGAAGTGAGACAAATGGAAAGACAATAGACCTTGGACACTACAAAAGGTGGGAGGGTGAGGATTGAAAAATTATCTGTTGGGTACAACATTCACAGTTCAGGTGATGGGTACACTAAAAAACCAGACTTTGCCATGATGCAATATATGCATGCAAGACATCTGCACATATACCCCCTAAATATATAAAAATAAAAATAAAACTTTTTTTGTTTGTTTGTCTGTTTATTTGTTTGAGACGGAGTCCTCGCTCTGTCGCCCAGGCTGGAGTGCAGTGGCGTGATCTCGGCTCACTGCAAGCTCCGCCTCCCGGGTTCACGCCATTCTCCTGCCTCAGCCTCCCCAGCAGCTAGGAATACAGGCACCCGCCGCCATGCCTGGCTAATTCTTATATTTTTAGTAGAGACAGGTTTCACCGTGTTAGCCAGGATGGTCTCGATCTCCTGGCCTTGTGATCCACCCACCTCGGCCTCCCAAAGTGAATAAAACTTGTTTTAAAAGAACAGACACCAGCCCAAATTCCTTGATCTAGCAAAGTAAGGCAGGGAAAGCAAAGAAAATAAACGTACATCTTCTTGGCAGGTAGATATTTTGCCTTTGCCTGCACATTCTAGTTTGGTCTTTCTGGAAGCATAAGGTTGTCAGCAGGGAAGGTAACAGACTCCTGCAGACAGACTGGCCTGGGCCTGCACCTGAGGTCCTATAGCTCACTGGAGACTTGACTTCAGATAAATTATTAACTTTTGGAGTCTCGTTTTCTCATTGCTAGAATATATTTAATACAGGTGGAGCTCTTAGCAATAGCAAACGTTGCTTGTAACTTTTTCATTCCACAGAGTAAAAAAATCACAAGCTGATTTCTTCCTTTGCTATGTTATGATTCCTAATAAATTCCATAAACCTGATTGTACTCTATAAGCAGCCAATAATATATAGATAAATATTATTGATAGTCTTTCACATATATGATGTTTGTGAAGCCAGTAAACAAATGAAAGGTTTTTGCATGCTTCGTATAGTGCATATTTCTTTTTTCTTTTTAATAATATAAAATTCTGCTTACAAGCCATGTGAAGTAATAATCTTTTCATTTATTTGTAAGGAGAAAAGGAAGTATTATATAACTTCTCTGAAAATGTTCTGAGAAATACTCAATTTGCTAAGAAATTAGGCAATTTTCCATAAGCACATAGCCTACACTCTTGTAAGTCTTAACTGTATCTAATTGCCCTTTATATCTGATGAGGAAGTGATCATAGACCTTTTTGTAATATGCAAACCACACACCATGATATGAAACTTGTGGTCCCATGACATATCGAAGAGGAAGAAAACATATCAAAATTTGATTCAGGCAACAGCATAGAAATTTTTAAGATGCTTTAACTACAAAATCATCATATGTTTACATAAAAATAAATTTGAATCAGTAATACTAAATTTATAATGATCTGAGCTCTTGCTAGTTTCATGTCTATGTCAGTGAGACCATTCAAATGAGATTAATTTGGGGTATATTTGAAGATAGAGATGTTTTAAACAACTCGTTTTAGACACGTGGAGGAAGGTTTTGTTTATAATATGGTAGAAAATGCCGGGCGCCCTGGCTCATAATTGCAATCCCAGCACTTTCGGAGTCTGAGGTGGGTGGATCTCGAGATCAGGAGTTCCAGATCAGCCTGACCAACATGGTGAAATTCCGTCTCTACTAAAAATACAAAAAAAAAAAAAAAATTAGCCAGATGTGGTACAAAAAAATAGCCAGGTGTGGCGGTACACACCTATAATTCCAGCTACTCAGGAGGCTGAGGCAGGAGAATCGCTGGAACCCGGGAGGCAGAGGTTGCAGTGAGCCGAGATCATACCACTGTACTCCAGCCTGAGTGACAGAGCAAGACTCCGTCTACAAATATATATATATATATACACACACACACACACACACAAAATATATAGAAATATAGAAAATATATATAAATATATATATATATATAGAAAATGTGAGATATAAAAAAAGGTTTTGTTGTTGTTGTTGTTGTTTAACCTAGGAATGGAGGCAAGTGACATAAATTACATAAGAAGGAAACGCAATTGGCTTTTCACTTAAAAAAAGTATATTTTAAACCAAGGGATTTAAACATATTTCTCAATGAATGTATAGGTTTGCTGATTGCATACCATCTCCCCAAGGAGTTCAAATTCCCACAGTGAACCAACACAACTGATGTTGGAAGCTCAAGTTGCTACAGAGAATTGAGAGAACCAAGACTTTTCCTTTTCCTGTTCTCATGATACTTGAAAATAATGTCTCCATGGAAGGAAAGCATTACAATAAATGATGCAACAGACAATGGAGAACATCTATTAAGTGTTACTAGGTTAATAACTAGTTCCTCATCCTCCTGTATAAAACCTGCCAGTTTTAAAGCTGATCTAAAATAAAATGCTTGGCCAGGCGCGGTGGCTCACGCCTGTAATCCCAACACTTTGGTAGGCCAAGGTGGGTAGATCATTTGATGTCAGGAGTTCGAGACCAGCCTGGGCAACATGGTGAAACCCCATCTCTACTAAAAATACAAAAACTAGCCGGGCATGATGGTGGGTGCCTATAATCCCAGCTACTCAGGAGGCTGAGGCAAGAGAATCACTTGAGCCTGGGAGGCAGAGGTTGTGGTTAGTAGAGACAGGTTTCACCGTGTTAGCCTGAGATCGAGACCATCCTGCCTAACACGGTGAAACCCCGTCTCTACTAAAAATACAAAGATCATGCCAATGCACTCCAGTCTGGGTGACAGAGTGAGACCCTGTCTCAAAAATAAATAAATAAATAAAATAAAAAACTCTTTTGAAAAGAACACAAAATGAAACAGATTGTAAGACTATAAAGCCCTTTAAGAAAGATATTAAATGTACAAAATGTGCTCTAAAATTTTAATGCATATTGAAATCAAACAATTTATTTTCTATGATTATTTTACATTTAACAGGAAAAAAATGTAATTTGACAGTGAAGGCATAAATACAAGTAATAAGACTAAAAAATTATTCCACTGAACAAACTCCAGATATGTCTCCAACGTACATCCAAGGATTTCCAAGGTTGTGAGTTTTCTTTGTGATTAGTAACTTAGCATTTGTCCTCCACATTTCATTCATGAAATCACACGTTCATCTAACTCTTTTGTCAATTTCACTTATGTGGAGGATGCTATAGTTGGACCCGTGAATTAGAAACCCTTAAGAAACTCCATGAAACAGATTAAGAAAATATCATTCTTATTAAGTAAAGGAGAAAGGCACTTTCAATCACTTGAAAACCAAGTATTGCTTTATCTTAGGAAAAAATTGCTCAATGTGTTTCGGACAAAAATATTTCAAATACAAATATTTGACATCTATAAACTTTCAATGGACATCAAATGTCTTTCTAAAGATTGACATTAGAGAGACAAATAGAACTACCTCAGTTAAGACCGAGAGAGCAGTGTTGCTATGAACAGAAAGCCTGTGGGCTTTTGTGAGTATTCATTTGGAACGGAGAGACTGTACTCTGAAGACAATTACAATAGTATACAGGTATCAGAAATTAAATTTACTTTTAATGGGATAATTAGGGATTATAAATCCAGAGAGACAAATAAGGACAATTCTTAGAATTCTGGCTTTCATTTGTCAAACTCAGATATTTTTGTAAGTTGTTCTGTTTTGCAATAATGCTTGAAATAGTGTGATTACATGTGGGGTTGTGGTCTGGAAAGTTGAGTTGTGATTCTATTGTGACTCAGGCAGTGTCATAATCATTCCAGATCATATCGAATGCTCTTTGCTCTGCCCAGTCCCTTTGCAGGGCAGCAGGAGAAAGAGTTCTGGATGATACCAGAAAACAAGAGCTGCTCTGATCTGGTCTAAAGTAGCAGGTGAGAGGTTGGGGGTAAGAAGTTTGGGAAGGGTGGAGCCAGTGTCAGGAAGAGGGTGTCTGGTGATGGGGAACGTGAAGCAAAGAGGAATGCTTCCTTTTCCTCTTTTCTCAGCCCCAGCTCTGCCTCGCAACATGATGCCCTTCTCCACCCCACCTAAAATTGACTTGACTGTTTGCTTACAGATTTTTAAGCACGGAAGAACACCAAGAATTCATCTGCTCTGGTGCCTTCCCACTAAGATAATGCAATACTACTTACTTTGCATCCTTGCAATTAAACTTGAATTTTCATTTTTAAGAAACCTTCAAGCATATAAATTACCCATTTCCATTGATTTCTAGCTGTGTGAAACTAAATGGCACTCTTCTTAACTTAAACGTAAGAAGAGTATCATGACTATCATTTTCACTGTGAAGAACGCTTTTGACGATATTGACACAAAATTCAGGACCTTCACGTCTTTCTCCATCAAACCACATGCTTGTGGTTTCCTTTGAATTCTGTTTTTGATCTACGGTTTCATAAAGGTAAGGCATTTCAGAGATGAGGGAATAATAGCATGCCTACCTACCTCCAGTGTTAAGTATATATATATTGTGTACAGGATAATTTTCACTGAGTAACTGATAGTTGGCAAAAATAAAGAGGTCATGGCCGGGCACAGTGGCTCACGCCTGTAATCCCAGCACTTTGGGAGGCCGAGGCGGGCAGATCACGAGGTCAGGAGATCGAGACCATCCTGCCTAACACGGTGAAAACCCGTCTCTACTAAAAATACAAAAAATTAGCCGGGCATGGTGGTGGGCCCCTGTAGTCCCAGCTACTCGGGAGGCTGAGGCAGGAGAATGACGTGAACCCGGGAGGCAGAGCTTGCAGTGAGCTGAGATCGTGCCACTGCACTCCAGCCTGGGCGACAGAGCGAGATTCCGTCTCAATAGATAAATAAATAAAGAGGTCACTTGATAGAGGGAATGTTGGGACCATGGGGGTGCAGTCTAGTCCTCTTAGCATGATCTCAGGGAATGCTGAGATAGTAGGGGTGAGTCTAGTCTTGCTGGCAAAATCAAAATACACATACAAAGACTACAGTAGAAAGTCCAACATCTGTGTTCTAGTCCTCAGCCAATATAGATCATTTTCTCCATTGAAAAATAGAAATAGTGACATCTGTAAAAGGCTGTAGTAGGTACAATGAGGTCGTAAACGTGAAATAACTTTGAGGAAAAATGCTCTAGATAAATTCAAGGTCTTTCACTACGTTCTTAGACTAAATGTACCCAACTTTTCTTGGTGATAAACAGTACTTACATTTCAATGGACAATATCCAAATAGCTTGTCTGTGTCATAGTCAGTAGTGGTTCCACACCAGAGCCATCCATCTGACCGCCCAGCACTCGTGCAATCTGCATACCACTTGTTTTCAAACTTGAATGGGAATGCACAGGTTGCTCCATTGGCGTTGCCCAGTAGTGTATACATGGCTGGAAAAACACATTGACTTGAACTTGGAATGTGAGTGATATTTCTGAACATTGACTTTCCAATCAGAAGCCTACAGAAGGAATTGGTCTTACTCTTCTGATTACACTTGGTGCACCCACACAGGGATTTTTGTTGTTGTTGTTCTTATTTTTTTTCCTTCTCCTTCTACCCTAGTCTTTTGCTGGGTACACAGAGCAGTCTGTACTTAGCAAATAACTCTTAGTGCCACTTCATTTCCACTGTGTTTTGGAACATTTTCAAATGAGACTAATTTGTTAAGTTATACCATTTGAAAATGTTCCAATGGTACAATTCAAAGTGGTACCAATAACAGTGGAAATGAAGTGGTACTAGTTAAAGTGGTAATAATAACTCATAGTACCACTTCATTTTCCACTATCTTTTCCGTCTTCCTCTATTGACACCAGCTTTAACTTCTGAATTTCCTCTGAAACAGTTCTCTCTCTTGATTAGAATCATGAAGCTTTGGAATCTCTAGATTAAAAAAAACTCCTGAAATCAAGCAATCTTCTCGCCTTAGCCTCCCAAGGTGCTGGGATTACAGGCATGAGCCACCACGCCTGCCAGCTTTATTAACTAACTCTATTTAATAATTACTGAGCCATTCTATGCACCCAACACTGATGAGGCCAAAAGAATCCCAACTACCTCACTGACACATCATGTAACTGCAGTCAATTTACTCTTCTTACAGTCTGAACTTCCAAACAACTATCAAATCCATCTAAGTCTACAATTCTGGTTCCATTCTTCTAAAATAATTCCCATTTTTAAAAAGTTCCACCATTCCACCCCCTCCCCCATGTTCTCATCAGAGATAAAGAGACCCTACAATACATCCTTTCAACACTGTCTTCAATGTGTGTTCCCAATCTCGTGGTCACACTGAGGAGCTAGAGTTGAGGCACAGGATCATCTTAAGTGCTGGGAGATCTTTGAAGAGTTTGCAAAATGTAGTCAATGGACCCTATGCCACAGAATCACCCAGGTCTTCATAGAAATCATTGAATAGATTCCTGGGCTTTTTCCCAATATATATATTAAGAATCTAGTAGAAGGGGTAGCTTAGGATCTGTAGTTTTAACTAACTCTCCAATTGATTCTTAAGCACATTAAAGTCTGAGAACTATCAGCCCAAACCCTGTGTATATTTGTCTCAAAACCAGTGGGGAAACAAAAAGGGTAGGGGGTGAGGGAAGTATAATATTATATTTTAAAATAAAATAAAAATCCGATTTCTTAGCACCACTCTTCCTCACGTTAAACTCCTCAATTAGCACAATTGACCTATCTGTGGAATTTGACTCGATCAAGTTTAATTCACCCTTCTCCTTCCTTGTAATTTTCTATTGAGTTTCCCCTGAAAGGTTCTTTTGTGTTCACTTAGCTTGCCTCTCATATCACTTCTAAAGCTATGTTTGAAAAATGCTTCAAAATAACTTCTTTCTGAGCCCTTCTCTCACCCTACTTCAATTCCTACTCTCCCCTGTTCTGCATGTAGATGGAAAATAGAAAGCTCACAAATTATCGCTTTATAAAGAACTAAATTGCTCTGCTCAGTCTTAGTTGAGATAAGCTAGGTTCAACCAATCGTAGTAGCCCAGTAACATAGCAATTTCGGAAACAAGTTATCTCTTGTCCCCAAAAGTAGGCTCTTTCTCTGACCTTGAGGTTGTTCTAGATAACGTTTCACAATAACTAAGTATCCAAACCTAAAATGTGATTATAACATCATCTGACTCAAGAGACCAGCCTTTGTAACAAGGCTTCAAGTTGTTTTGTATTTTTGTTTTATTTTCTGTGCAGCCACCAGAAAATGAAATTTGATCAATATAAGAAAGAACTAAACACTCTGATTTTATTTAACCTTCAAGAGGTCAAGAAACCAACTACATATAAGAGGATTCCTCCCACCGCATTGATGGTATCACCTTCTCTGATCGCTAACTAACTAGACTGCATATTAATTTACAAACTAATCCTTCACATTTTATAACCGTCTAATTTTTACAGTCTCTAAATACCCATAACCTGACAAAACAAATCAGAAACATTTAGAACCCCATGTTGTCAAGGGATCTGCCAAGATTTCATCTTAGGCAATCTGAATTAGGAAAGAATGTTCTATGGATCATTTTTCCAGGGATAACTTAAATCAAAGGAAAAGAAATATTTGGCAAAATTCATTTATCACTACAACTTTATAATGTTAACTAGGAGGCTTTGGGTCAAAGACTACAAGGAAAATGATTTTCTGAAAAATGTAGCCCATAGTTAAAAGAATAAAACCTCAGAGAAAGTTAAAAGAATGCCTTCCCATTAATTAAAAATAGCTGAAGTATCATTCGGGACTTTTTACCACATTTATTCACCATCATGTCTTCAAAAGAGTTCTACAGAATAGTTGAAAACACAAAGATGCTGATCAATTGATATTTCTAGTACACACCAACCAAGAACGTGATGATTTTCTTGAATTAGGTTCCAACTAAGAAGACGAGAAAATTTCGACACGAAGGTAAACATTCCAAGCATCTTACCTTCATAACCTCTAGAGCATAGATTGTCTGTGGTTCCGTAGATCTTCCACCTGCTCCATAAACCCGATCCCTTGTAGAGCATAACATTCTTTTCCTGTCTATTGCCATAGTTAAAAAACAAGTCTTCTCCTTTAATCCCCAAAAGTGTGTCATTTTTGCACTCCCATTTCTGAAATTCACTTTTTGAGTCACAGGCATAGAGAGTGATAGCAACCCAGTCAGTTTTTGATGGCACTCCCAGGCATAATTTAAATGCAACACTCATAATCTGAGATTCGGACACCCATCGGAATTTCTGTGATTCAGCATCCTGGTTGCAAGCCGCGGTTTGGACGGCACTGGGACTTACTGCTTCCACACAGCGCTTGTGATCTTCATTATAGATTAAAAATTGCCTGGTGTCTGTTTAAAAAGAAAGAAGCAGGAAAAGAAGAAGCAAGCAAGCATGGGTAAGTGGATTCGTGTAACAAGGACAATATTTTAGGTCGAAGGTTTCCAACTCTTCCATTTCCCTAAAGTCTTAAGATTGCAGGAAAAGAGGTACTGATGATTACCCCTGGGGCCAGCTCTCTTTGAGGATCCCTGAAGCTGGAGGGAGAACCTGGACTGAGGACCTGCCAAGGTGCCAGCACTCAGCTGGATGTCCTCAAAATGTCCTAGTTCACTATGAAGAGTCTCCTGAAAAGGCCCACCTTACATGCCCAAGGATTGTCCAGGAATGGAACACACAAGGGAGATAACAGAAAGGAATAATATCAATGGGGAAAAGAAAATTTGGGTAAAATGAATACAATAAACTGTAAAATTAAATGCATGTCTGTCCTAGAAAAGATGTGTGTTTGCTTGTTGTTTTTAAAGGACAAGGTCTCGCTCTGTTGCTCAGGCTGGAGTGCAGTGGTGCAATCATGGCTCACTGTAGCTTCCAACTTCTGGGCTCAAGTGATCCTCCTGCCTCAACCTCCCAAGTAGCTGGGACTACAGGCTCACGCCACCATAATCAACTGATTTTTTAATTTTTGTAGAGATTGAGTCTCACTGTGTTGCCCAGGCTGGTCTCGAACTCCTGGCTTCAAGCAGTCCTCCGACTTCAGCCTCTCAAAGTGCTAGGATTACAAGTGGGATCTACCTCGCCTGGACTAGAATAGGATTTTGAAGTATTACACATCTCAACACATTTTGGTATTCTTTGTTAATAATTTAATAGTGAAGTTTGCAATAAAGGACAAATAAATATAAATTTTATATCATTGGAGATAATATTTTTACGAGAATAACTTTAAAAATAACATTTGGTATATTCATAATTTGGAACTGGTGATTTAAGTAAATATGTAACGATGGCTTATACTTAACAGCACATAGCTGCTAACTGGCAGAGCGGAACTTCCTCTTGCAAAAGAGGAAAAAAGGATCTGGTAAGCATTTTTTTTTTCCTTTAATTAAATCAAAATTGAATTCATGTAAAGGTTTCTGTTTTTTCTTTATTGTTAAGGAATATAGAAATGAAAGTAACTGAGTGTTTTACTTTTGTGACATAAACATCCAGAAATTAAACACATCTTGTGACATTTTCCTAAATTCCATGTACTCACCTTGTTCTTTCAAAATGAGCTGGTAGTAGTGCAGATGTTTGAGGTTCTGACTAAATGAGCTCATTATTTTTAATTAAATAACTCCAGCGAAACTTAAAAAAGTTAGAACCACACCACTAGCAGAGTCCTTCAGTGTTTCCAGAGCATTTTTGCAAGGCGTATTCTGTTTCCTGTTCTGAACGCCCCAGGGAAGTTAGCACCACTTACACTCTGAGATCAGTTCTAGACTCATAAACTTAACGCTTATAATAAATTCTTGCCTCAAAAGATTTTCTCCTGACACGCTTCTCTATATGCTCTTGTCCACACTAGTTCCAGACCTCCTACCTCTATCCTACCTTGAAATGATCATCTTTAAAAAAAAAAAAAAAACCTTTATAGCAACACCCAGTCTGGTGCTTGATCAAATATCTGGGTGCCAAGACCCAGCCGTGTTGACACATAAAATTAACTACTGCAGTGTATTTTTGGGTACAGTCGATAGACTTCACTATTGTTTTAGAATGCAAAAACAAGCTGAAAATCCAGGAAGACGCCTATACTTTTAGCTTATGGATCTTGGGGGATGGTGGTGCCAAGAATGAGAGAAGTCTGGATGTTACACATTAAATGCTGTCTTACTTAGAGTGAGTAAGACCTACTCTCACTGCCTCTATGCTACCTGGGTTCCTAGTTCTCTGCAACTTCAAACCTCTGCCTGGGCTCCTCTGCTGGGTTACTCATTCGTGCTGTTTTGATTTCTTGGAATCGGAACTCAATAAAGCCTGGATCCAGACACCTGCCTCTGCTGGCTTCTCTGCAGTTGACATCTGCCCACTGAACATGCAATACCTGTCCCAGTCTCCTTCCGTCTAGCTGAGCTTCCTTCCACACCTGATCTCATTTTGTAACTGCTCGTGCCCTAGTGGGACAAAATGAGTAATTTTTTACCTTGGCAATAAAATGAGAATGTTGATAATATAGGGCTTTGCTCATCATGAAACACAGGAAATAGGAAAATGAAAACGGTTTTTTAAAAAACAGTGACTATGATCATTTACTTTATGCAAAGGTAAATTATCTTGTCAAATCTCAAAATGTAACAAACTCTGAAACTTTTGCCATAGATATCTGCAAACTCCACTATACTAGCCTCTAAATTTAATGTAATTTGTTTGTGTTATTCCACCTACTGTTTTGTTTTTTTTTAACCTGGACTTATCTTCCACTTTTCAGATAGCTTTGCTTAGTAATACCTCATTGTTAATAATAGTAAATATATCTTCCACCTTATACTTTGGCCATTTTCATTGCATTTTCAAACAACAGTCTTGTTAACTGGTCAAATTCAGTCAATTAACCGGTTGGTAACCAGTCTTTGAAGAGAAGACATTCAAAAATCTTTATGCATGAATAGTGTTCCGTCTTCAGATGTTTTTACACTTATTTGACTTTTGTATGTTTAATTTTTATCTGCAGTCCATCTTAATTTCACTCTAAGACAGACAGCATTTAATGAGTAACATCCAAACTTCTCTTTCTCATTCTTGGCACCACCATCCCCTGAGATCCGTAAGCTAAAAACCTAGGAGTCTGCCTGGATTTTTAGCTTGTTTTTGCATTCTAAGACAATAGTGAAATCTACCAGCTCTACCCGAAAATACACTGCGGTGGTTAATTGTATTTGTGTCAACATGGCTGGGTCTTGGCACCCAGATATCTGATCAAGCAGCAGACTGGATGTTGCTATAAAGGTATTGTTTACAGCCGAGATGATCATTTCAATCAGACAACTTTAAGTAAAGCAGCTCACCCTCCTCAGTGTGGGTGGACCTCATCAAATCAGGTGAGGGTCTTAAGAGAAAACAAACTGAGGAAGAAGAAGAAGGTGAAATTCCCCAAAGAACCTTGGCAAAGAACGAATTATGCCTCTGGACTGCTTTATTTCTGTTTTTGTTTGTTCATTTGTTTTTGAGACAGGATCTTGCTCTGTCGCCCAAGCTAGAGTGCAGTAGTGCAATCACAGCTCACTGCAGCCTTAAATTCCTGGGCTCAAGCGATCCTCCCACTTCAGCCTCCCGAGTAGCTGGGACTACAGACCTGTGCCACCACACCTAGTTAATATTTTTTATTTTTACTGGAGACAGCGGTGTCACTTTGTTATCTAGGTTGGTCTTGAACTCCTGGGCACAAGTGATCCTCCTGCCTCGACCTCCCAAAGTGCTGAGATTACAGGCCACCTCGCCCAGCTCTAGACTGCTTCAGTCTCAAACTGCAATATCAACTTTCTCCTGAGTTTCCCGCATACTCCTCCACCCCTGCAGGTTTTGGACTTGCCAGCTTCCACAATTGTGTGAACCAATTCCTTAAATAATTCTCTCTCTCCCCCTCTCTCCACCTTCTTTTCTTCCCTTTCTGTGTGTACACACACACACACACACACACACACACACCTCTGACTAATACACATACCTTAATTCATTCTCTTTGCTCCAACTCTATTTCCATCTCCCCAGGCCAAGCCACCATGGTCTGGCTCTAGTCTTCCTCTCTTAAAAATGGAATCATCAAAAAAGATAATACCTGATCACCCAGTTTTTTGGGAGGAGCGGGTCTGACTTGTCACCTAATGCCAAATTGCAAAACCTACCTAATATAATAGGTGGTCTTCACTGAGCTACCTAAGAGAGTGAGATTTCTTTCTGTTTTTCCCATCTCTCTCTCTCTTTTTTTTTTTTTTTTTTTGAGATGGAGTCTCGCACTGTTGCCCAGGCTGGAGTGCAGTGACGCGATCTCAGCTCACTGCAAGCTCTGCCTCCTGGGTTCACGCCATTCTCCTGCCTCAGCCTCCTGAGTAGCTGGGACTACAGGCGCCCGCCACCGCGCCCGGGTAATTTTTTTGTATTCTTAGTAGAGATGGGGTTTCACCATGTTAGCCAGGATGGTCTCGATCTCCTGACCTCGTGATCCACCCACCTCGGCCTCCCAAATTGCTGGGATTACAGGCATGCACCTGGCTTCCCATCTCTTTTGCAGATTGCCTGTGATGCACACTACATTCTGGTTGAATGCTCACTCAATAATAAAATTCTTTTCTTTCTCATCTACCTTTTTAGAGAGGTTTTCTGGGTGGGAAGGAGATTAGGTTTCTAACTACAAGTCCTCAACAACTTAAACCCTGTAAAAGGGAACCACTGTACCCAGGAAAAATACATCCAGCCCCTATATCATTGTTTATTAGAAAGGGCACAGTGACCCATCTGCCCTCACCACCAACTACACCACCTTTCAGCTCCTCAAACCCTCCAGGCTCACTTCCACACTGGTGACTTCATGTTTTGAGTTCCCTCTTCTTGGGATGCTCACTAAGACCATAGCTTAAGTGTCAACTTTTCTTTTCTTTCTTTGAGACAGACCCTTGCTCTGTCACCCACGCTGGAGTACAGTGGCGCCATCTTGGCTCACTGCAACCTCAGCCTCCTGATTTCAAACAATTCTCCTGCCTCAGCCCTCCGAGTAGCTGGGATTACAGGCGCATGTCACCACACCCAGCTAATTTCTGTATTTTTAGTAGAGGTGGGGGTTTCACCATGTTGGCCAGGCTAGTCTCAAACTCCTGACCTCAAGTAATCTGCCCACCTCGGCCTCCCAAAGTGTTGGGATTACTGGCGTGAGCCACTGCGCCTAGCCAAGTGTCAACATCTTAGAAGGTTGATCATCCTAACTCATTTTATTCTTTTATTTACCATATAATATCCATAACCATCTTAAAATAAATTCTTCAATTTGTTTACTAATGTTCTGTCCATGGCACAAATTAGATGTGTCACA